ATTTCCAAGTCTACCAGAAAGCAGAATAAGTCTCTTATTTGGCTTTCAACACTGAAATCGAGTTGGTTTAAGCCTAAAAGGACTCTCTCTGATCAGAAACCCCACTACCTAAACCACCTGAAATCAGTCTTTAACCTAGTGCAGCCTCTGCAGCACAAGAAGTGAATTCTGGAGCCTCTGATCTTTCACATGAGGCACAGCCTGTCCTTAAATTGACAAAAAAAATGTGCAGGTTAAGGCCCTGGCAACCTAGATACAGCTGTAGTATTTTAAAACTGAATGCAGGTTAGATACAGGTTCTTTAGTTTGCATTTTTGGAAAGCGTTTCCATTAATGAAAGGGCTGTGTACACAGATTGATTCTAAATTAGGCAAGGCAAGGTAAGCAAGTTTATTTATATAGCAAAGTACTGGAAAGTGCTTCACAGAATAAGACAAACATTAAAATCACAATACAAACAAAAATCATGATCATAAAATTAACATTCAAATAGAAGAGAGAAGAGTGTGCAGTAAAATCCTTTCAGTCATAAACACAACTAAACAGAAATCTCGGTTGATCCACTTAATGAACCACCCAAACAGCACTTCTACACCTTTTTCTGTTGTCTAACTGTGTGTGAGTGTCTGTGCGTATGCGTGTGTGTGGTTAAGTTTGAATAAAATATTTGTTTATGACACGAAGAAAAGGTTAGCTGTCATCACAGACAACAACTACATTCTACCTTAAATTTCCTTCTGCAGCTATAATTCTTTCCTATATTATTTTGGTATTTTTTTTGTTTCTTGCTGGTTGTAAACTGAGTGCTTCTCCCCTCTTTTTCACCCTGGGAGATTTGTGATTGTGCCCCAGTACAGAGAAGTCTTGTTGTTTTTCAATCTGCTTTATTATGGCGCTGTTGGGACACATAGCCCAGGGTGATCAGGTTTGGAGTGAACAAAATGGTGTGTGGAGCTGGTGGGCGGGAGCACGGAAAATCCATTTGCGGATGGTGTCGGACAAATTGGCCATGTGGTTGGACCAGAAAGGCCACTCATTTATCATTCTGAAGATGTATGGACAGAGAGTTATGGTGAAGTCTTATACAACAGGCATCCAAGTTCAGATTTTGTTAATGGATAAATGCATGAACAAATGAAGAACAGCATGGTCTCCCCAATAGCAACTTTGCTTGCCATTGTTTTTTTTGGGGGTTTTTTTTGTAATTTTTATTCAGTCTAAAATGAAATAATGGTTCAGTGATGAAACTATAAAAAAAAAAAAAAAAAAGATTCTTATGCTATGAAGAAATTGATATATATATATTATTTCATTCAGTGTTTTGAATTAAACTGCTCATCAGTTTATTTACTTTAGTTACACAAATGTCTTTTTAATTATTTGACAAAGGCTTGTTGTTCATTGGTTGGTGTATTGTGTAGTGGTCTGTCACATAATAGGGCCTGCAGACACTGTGTGTGTGTGACAGTTTGATGAGATTGAAACAGTAATGTCAGCGCTCTGCTCAGGGTCCACATCTGTCTGAGTTAGACCTGGCCGCAGGACAAACTGTCCAAAAGGGACATCTGGGTTTGTCCAACTACACTGTTTTATTGGGTTAAATGAGTTGTATTCTTTTACAATTACACACTCATGAGTAGCTATTTTTGCACACTGTAAGCTGATAATGTCACTATGATAATTAAAGGTGATGGTTACAAATGTAATATATCATATGTTGTAACTGTATGATATATAGGTTTTTGTAAGGTACTCTATAATACCCAACAACATGTTTTTATTATGATTATATAATCTATGTATCCTGATTATGAGACGCAGAATTTTGCATTTTCATACCAACATAATTCTTCACCATTTATTTTTATTTAACTAAATTGATTTGTATACATAAAGTGTTACTCCATTCCTTCTAGATGTAATAAAATTCTTTTATGATTTGCTCTTAACAGTTGTTTGTGTTATGTAGTGCTAATGTCTTGAGGAGCCTTTGGTCTCAGTCCTGGCAGCATATCCAAACACAGTGCACACAGTGACATCACTACAGGCCCCCCAGGACAATCAGAGAAAAGGGATGGGCTTCCAGCTTATGAAGAGGTGGTCAGGTTTCTTCACTGTGAGCTCAGAACATTTTAGTCGGATGTTTTCCTCTGTCTCTGAAGGCCACACAGTGAGAAGTGAAAGGGGAGAGGTGTGGATTTGTTCAAACAAGGGAGCAATTAGCTGCCAAAATGGAGGCCCCTTTGTTGTGACTGATTGTGACTAATTTATGGAATACTATCCCAGCGTCCAACTCTCCGATGGATAACTACTCACACAAACTCAGGAGACAGCAGTCGTGTTGTGTATTCAGTGTCTTTAATTTGTTTTTAATGTCAATGCTTAGATGCACGTGTTGCCATAGCCACGTTACTACTTGTAATTTGATCTATTATTTAGAATTTAGGTACCACCTGATTGTCACCATGGAGATATTTTTTATACCATATTGTGGAACATTCCAGGCAAAGTACATTGTGAACCCTCCACCAGAAACATTACAAATTGCACCCTTAAATGACACACCAACTGGATTAACAAATCGATTATTAGAGAGCATTTTAAAATACGAATGATTTGAGCTTGCTTTTACATCAGATGCCCTTCCTGGTGCAAACATTCTGTTTGTGATCAAATTAGTTTATTTTTATTAAATCATGAGGTTTACAAACCACTAATATTGGTGATTTTTTTGTTGGTTTAATTCTTATAAACAGAGACAGAACCGGTGTGAAAATGCTATGAATAAAAGAACTGAGTCCTTGGATTTGCAACATTGGACTGCTGAAAAAATCACCTTCTATTTCATTCATCAGCCTGTTGTGTTTGTTGATCAAAAACACAAAATCAATACATGGATAACAAAAGAAAGATTCAATTCTGACTACTGGACAAAGTTTTAGAGTTTCTCCGCTCATCCAACTGGCTTCTTCAGTTGTGGTCAGATTGCATAATCATTCAGCCCCCCGATGGGTGCTCTCACACCTATTAGCATACAGGCTATCACTATTTATTTTCCCTGTTTTGTTTTAGGTCTGAGGATGCAGTTATTAATAGGAGATAAATGATGTCTAAGATCCACATTCCTGTTTGAAGATGGATTGGCTTTCCAAGACAGTTAACACACAGACCTCATTACATGGACAAAAGATACCACTTAATGAGAAACAGTGAGAAAAATGTTACCATATAAGATTCAATACATTATGCGCCATTACTGAATATACATGTATATCCTCCCTCCTCCTTCAGATATTTTCTCTTCTGTTTTGGCTGTTTCTGAAAAGAGCTCAAAGCCAAATATTAAATATTTAATGTAGAGGTCTGTAGGGCCTTCAGGATTGATGGATCAATGAAAAAGCCTGGGCACACAGCGATAAATTCTTTATTTTAGTTGTTCACACATTTATTTGCCTGGGGCCATTAGCTTAGCACAGCACTGGAGAAATTTTCCACTTACTTTTTATGCACACACACACAGCGCAGTGTTAATCATCCATCAGCGATCTAAGGAGTGAGGTGCATGAACTGCCTACAGCACTCTCACGGGACCTCCTATCAACCAGATTACACACAACTTCAATTCTGACACCTTTCAATAGTGTATGTATGTATATATATATATATATATATATATATATATATATATATATATATATATATATATATATATATATATATATATATATATAGTTTAGTTTACTCTCTATCTTAATGTTACATTTTTTCAGCAACTGTGTCCAAGTAATTTTGCTTTGAATTTGGTCAGCAATAACATAATCAGCACTTGCAATTTCGCTCTTCTCCGACTGTTGCAAATGTTAAAATGTTTTTTTTACCTCCTCAAAAACATACCCAGATTTCAGTTTTGTTTCATTCACTGAGTAACCCTTTATTATTAGTCTGTCTACATCTCTAAAGCTAAAAATATTCTGTCCACCTTGTGATGTCATGTAGTGGTAATTTTTAACCTTTTTTCCTTTAGCTCAGTAGAGACAGGCAATTCCAGGGAAATCATCTAAATGGTTCTAGTGAAGTAAGTGTTTTCTGTTTGAGAGAAGAACTTGTGTGTTGAACATCTGTGAACGAAACAAAACACGACTCCAGGTATGTTTGTGATGAGGAAACAACATTATAACGTATGTTTGCATCAGTCCCTTTGCTTAGGTTGAAACAGTCCATGGTGGTTTAGCACATTTATTTATATGATGCCCTTCTTGTAGCAATTAGTGACTGGAGAGGCAAGGGCATGGCTTATCCTGAAAACAATGACAATATACTCACCTCGATCATTATGTTATATTATGCTGATTAGCAAAATATCTGCTAAATCTCACTTAAATATTAAATGATTATGTTGTGTAATATAAAAGCATGTTAATTTTTTTTAAAGATTATTGTTATTTAATCAGTTCAAGGTACATTTCCCTGTTTATATAATTTTTTTTATAAGAGCCAAGGCCCCTGCAAAGAATCTAATATTTCATTTATGCACTTTGGGAGACAGGCTTTTCTATCTGAACATCAACATAAAAGAAACACTTGATATCAAAAAGAATAATGGAGTAAGGGCCATCGCTGGTTAAGGTCTTGATTTTCTGATTGCTAACAGAACAAAATTAGACTCATGATTTTTATTCCCGAATCTTGTGAAATGTTTTAAAATGGCATTAGCTGTGCACAGTTGAGTGAGTTGAGCATGCGACAATAATTTAACAACTTAAAGGTGCATTGTGTAACTTTTCTGGTGGAGGGTTTATTAGATGCATTTCTCCATGGAAATGTTACTGCTTCATCTAGAATTTTTCAGAGTATAATATTAAACCTTTCTACCTTCATGGAGACCAAACTAGACCAAGTACAGGTCTGACCCCTACACCCCAATATGATTTTTCTTTTTTATTGTTAACAAAATAGTTTAGAGTTTTATTTACAGTGTGTCTCCCATCTTCTCTTTGCAGACAGTAACTTTGTCCTGGGGAACGCGCAGGTGCAGTCGCTGTACCCAATCGTGTACTGTTCGGACGGTTTCTGTGAACTGACTGGATATGCCCGGGCTGAGCTCATGCAAAAAAGCTGCGCATGTCACTTCCTGTATGGCCCCGAGACCAGCGACAGACTCACGGCTCAGATCCAGGGTGCGCTAGATGAGAGGCGGGAGTTCAAGACTGAGCTGGTGTTCTACAAAAAGGAAGGTAAACAAACACACAACTTTTAAAGTGGGATTAAATGGCTAAAATACACTAACAGCTACAGTTCAAACAAGCTGCTAAACTGGAAAGTGCCTGGAGGACTAAAAGGGAGAGTAAAGAGGGAAGAAATGGACCAAGTGAGTGTGAAGTCACCCATAGCATTTGGCTCCATTCAAATGAAGCTCTCCTAAGATAGAAATTATAGGGGATAAAATAGCAAAATAAAAACATGTGGATCATGTAGAGCGAGTTAATACGACCATTGTAACACCAAAATGAAGAGGCTCACTGCAGTAGGTACAGAGAGAGAAGGGTGACCATTTTTCATGTCAAATGGAGCCAGAGCTGATGGAGCCAAATAAATAGATTTATTTTAGCAGATTTCTATAAATTTCTATAAATATATATATATATGTATAATATGTAGTAATAATGTGTTCCTAACCTTCCACGGGGACTGGTCTCTCTCGCTCTCATCCAGTTCAGGTCCTCTACCAGAGGCCTGGGAGCTTAAGAGTTCTGCACAGTATCTTTGCGATTGATTGACTGATTCATTTATTCATTTATATATATATATATATATATATATATATATATATATATATATATATATATATATATATATATATATATATATATATATATAGACATATCCCTGGAGATGCCATTTACACTTTCCTTGCAAAAAAAAAAGTAAATTTAGACACAGGTATTACAGTCTTTTCTTATCTATATTAAAATTTTGTTTCCTTATCCAAAACATACCTGGAGATGTGTTTTGTTGCATTCACACATATTTAACACACAAATGCTGCACTTTTAAACTCCACACAACTTCATTAGAATAATTTGGGTAATTTCAGCCCTAGAATTGCCAATCTCTACTGAACAAAAGGTAAAAAAAAGTTTTTTTAAAAACTTGAAAACTACCACTATTTGACATTGCAAGGTGGAACAGAGCATTTTGAGCTTTGGTGTGAACATGTGAATGAAACAAAACACAACTCCAGGTATGGTTTTGATGTGGTAAAAATCATGTCTTTAAGCTTACCAAGAGTAATTTTTGAGTAATAGACCATTCATGTCTATGTTTATTTATTTATTTTTGTTGTTCAAAATATAACATTTTACAATATTAATACCATTGTTTGTATTTAACAGATGGACACTGATAAACTAGCCTCACCATTGTTGTTGTTATGCATGTCCTAAACTTCCTCATCTCCCCTGCCCTCCGTAATGCCCTTACCTTTCCACATCTCAAATGCACTTTCCCAGAGTCCATCCAATCAGACGGAGCTTACATGAGCAGCCAGGTGTGAATCAGACATGTTAGCAGCGTGAGAAGAACAAGGAGTCCCTCAAGAGCCTCATAAAACCTCTGCTTAAATGACAAAACACACCAAGCTTTGAGCAAGTAAATTACATGTCAGTTTTAGTGGTAATCGGTTGCTCCTTGGATATTAAAGTAATCAGTATTGCTTTGTAACAAAAAATCATTACTACTGTTACAACTTAAGGTGTCCATTAACAAACTAGCAGTAAATACACAGCAAATTCAAAAGTGTTAAATTCATGGTGTTGGTGTTGTTGTGAATAAAGTGAAGAAAATCCAGGTATGTTTTAATAGTCAAGAGTTATTTAAACTATGACAGTGCTGTAGAGTAAAATTAGTAGTTGTTGATTCACAGTCCATCCATCCATTTTCTTCCGCTTGTCTGGGGCCGGGTCACGGGGGCAGCAGTCTAAGCAGGGACTCCCAGACTTCCTTCACCCCAGACACGTCCTCCAGCTTCTCTGGGGTCCAGGCCAGCCGAGAGACATAGTCCCTCCAGCGTGTCCTGGGTCTTCCCCGGGGCCTCCTCCCCGGTGGGACATGCCCGGAACACCTCCCGAGGGAGGCGTCCATGAGGCCTCCGGAACAGATGCCCGAGCCACCTCAGCTGGCTTCTCTCGACGTGGAGGAGCAGCGGCTCTACTCCGAGCTCCTTCCATGTGACTGAGCTCCTCACTGTATCTCTAAGGGAGCGCCCAGCCACCCTGCGAACTAAACTCATATTGAGAGCTTGTATCCGTGATCTTGTCCTTTCGGTCATTACCCAGAGCTCATGACCATAGGTGAGAGTAGGAACGAAGACTGACCGGTAAATTGAGAGCTTCACCTTTCGACTCAGCTCCCTCTTCACCACAACGGTCCGATACAGCGACCGCATCACTGCAGACGCTGCACCGATCCGCCTGTCAATCTCACGTTCCATCCTTCCCTCACTCGTGAACAAGACCCCGAGATACTTGAACTCCTCCACTTGAGGCAAAGACTCCCCACCCACCCGGAGAGGGCAAGCCACCTTTTTCCGGTCAAGAACCATGACCTCGGACTTGGAAGAGCTGATCTTCATCCCAGCAACTTCACACTCGGCTGCAAACCGCCCCAGTGCACATTGCAGGTCCTGGTTCGATGGAGCCAACAAGACAACATCATCTGCGAACAACAGAGATGAGATCCTGTGGTCCCCAAACCGGACCCCCTTCGGCCCCTGACTGCGCCTAAAAATTCTGTCCATAAATACAATGAACAGAACCGGTGACAAAGGGCAGCCCTGGCGGAGTCCAACATGCACCGGGAACAGGTCTGACTTACTGCCGGCAATGCGAACACACCTCCTGCTCCGGTCATACAGGGACCGGACAGCCCTTAGCAAAGGGCCCCGGACCCCATACTCCCAGAGCACCCCCCACAGGACACCACGAGGGACACGGTCGAATGCCTTCTCCAAGTCCACAAAGCACATGTGGACTGGTTGGGCAAACTCCCATGAACCCTTGAGCACCCGATGGAGAGTGTAGAGCTGGTCCACTGTTCCACGGTCAGGACGAAAACCACACTGCTCCTCCTGGATCCGAGGTTTGACTATCGGCCGGATTCTCCTCTCCAGTACCCTGGCATAGACCTTACCGGGAAGGCTGAGGAGTGTGATTCCCCTGTAGTTGGAACACACTCTCCGGTCCCCCTTCTTATACAGAGGGACCACCACCCCGGTTTGCCAGTCCAGCGGCACTGTCCCCGCCCACCACGCGATGTTGAAGAGGCGTGTCAGCCAAGACAGCCCTGCAACATCCAGAGACTTAAGGTACTCAGGATGGATCTCATCCACCCCCGGAGCCTTGCCACCAAGGAGCTTGCCAACCACCTCAGTGACTTCAGCCAGAGTGATGGACGAGTCCGCCTCCGAGTCCCCAGCCTCGGCTTCCTCCTCTGAAGACGTGACAGTGGGATTGAGGAGATCCTCAAAGTATTCCTTCCACCGCCGGACAACGTCCCCAATCGAGGTCAACAGCTCTCCCCCCGCACTGTAAACAGTGTTGGTGAAGGACTGCTTCCCCCTCCTGAGGCGCCGGACGGTTTGCCAGAATCTCTTTGAGGCCGTCCGATAGTCCTCCTCCAAGGCCTCTCCGAACTCCTCCCAGCTCAGAGTTTTTGCCTCTGCAACCGCACGAGCTGCAGCACGCTTGGCCTGCCAGTACCCGTCAGCTGCTTCAGGAGTCCCACGAGCCAACAAGACCCGATAGGACTCCTTCTTCAGCTTGACGGCATCCCTTACTTCTGGTGTCCACCACCGGGTTCGGGGATTGCCGCCGCGACAGGCACCACAGACCTTAAGCCTACAGCTATGTGCGGCCGCATTGACAATAGAGGCCGAGAATGAAGCCCACTCGGACTCCATATCTCCAGCCTCCCCCGGAATCCGGGAGGACTTCTCTGGAGTTGAAAGCCCCTCTGACAGAGGGCTCTGCCAGACGTTCCCGACAGACCCTCGCTACACGCTTGGGCCTGGCAGGTCTTTCCAGCTTCCTCCTCCACCAGCGAACCCAACTCACAACCAGGTGGTGATCAGTTGACAGCTCAGCCCCTCTCTTCACCCAAGTGTCCACGGCCACACGGCCGGAGGTCAGATGACACGACTACAAAGTCGATCATCGACCTCCGGCCTAGGGTGTCCTGGTGCCACGTGCACTTATGGACACCCTTGTGCTCGAACTTGGTGTTCGTTATGGACAAACTGTGACTAGCACAGAAGTCCAATACCAAAACACCGCTCGGGTTCAGATCAGGGAGGCCGTTCCTCCCAATCACCCCTCTCCAAGTGTCACTGTTGTTGCCCATGTGGGCGTTGAAGTCCCCCAGTTGAACAACGGAGTCCCCGGTCGGTGCACTGTCTAGTACCCCTCCCAGGGACTCCAAGAAGGCCGGGTACTCTGCACTGCTGTTCGGCCCGTAGGCCGACACCACAGTGAGAGACCTGTCCCCGACCCGAAGGCGCAGGGACGCGACCCTCTCGTTCACCGGGGTGAACTCCAACACACAGCGGCTGAGCTGTGGGGCAATAAGCAGGCCCAGCTTGCCGCCGCTCCCCGCGGCCAACGCCAGAGAAATGGAGAGTCCAGCCCCTCTCAAGGAGTTGGGTTCCAGAGCCCAAACTGTGCGTGGAGGTGAGGCCGACTATATCTAGTCGGTAACGCGCAACCTCCTGCACAAGCTCAGGTTCCTTCCCCCCAGCGAGGTGATATTCCATGTCCCCAGAGCTAGTCTCCATGTCCGGAGATCTGGTCGTCGAGGCCCCCGCCTTCGACTGCCGCCCAGATCTCTCTGCACCGGCCCCATATGGCTCCTCCCGCAGGTGGTGGGCCCACGGAAGGGCGGCCCCACGTCGCTCGTTTGGGCTGTGCCCGGCCGGGCCCCATGGGGGAAGGCCCGACCACCAGACACTCGCCTTCGAGCACCCACCCCAAGCCTGGCTCCAGGGTGGGGCCCCGGTGACACTATTCCGGGCGGCGTAACTGGCCTCTGATTGGAACTCATCATGTGGGGCTTCTGATTCACGTTCACAGTGTTAACGTTAAATACTTAGAAAGTGTCTATTTTGAATATTACACTACATCAGTGTTGGGCTTTTGTAACGTTTCCAGGGGTAGAGCTACAGTCCGAGGGAGAAGCCACATTTCACCCTCCGAAGCTAAGCTAAGCTAACAGGGCAAAGCTAACAGCTAATAGAGTTTGTTTTTCAGCAGAACCTGAACTCAACGAGCCTCAAGTCCAACCATCTGAGCTCTCACATGCCCCGGGTCAGATTACTTTACCTTTTTAGGACATTCTACAGTTAATTTAATTCATAAAAATACTAAATATATTTGGTCTAATGCTAGTAGTAGTGTTGAGTAGTAGTAAGCTAATTAATTTACCTGTGACAGTCAATGTTGCCATCACTGATGTCCATGAAAATTGGGTAAAATAGCCACAAATTGTACTAAATTAAGAGTAACGTTACTTCAAAGTCTAAGTAAAAAGTAGAAGTCCAAGAAATGTGTTAAGTAGCTCAGAGTAAAAGTATTTGGGGAAACTACTCCTCAAGTAACTTAAGTTAAAAGTAACTGGACGAAACATCTAATCTGTCATTTAAAGTTAATGCAATTGCGAGGATGAAACATGAAATAGTACTCATTTTATTGTGGACCCCATATGACATGGTAAAAGTGTTCAAATTAACAATACTCAAGTTGAATTAAGACTTGAAGTTGAATTAAGAGTTGAATTTGCTGTGTAAATGTAATAATTCTGTAAAGTCTGTAAAGCTAAAAAAAATTATTTTTGTTTTGTTTTGTTTTTGTTTTATACTATTCTACCAACAAATGTGGCTAAACTTTTTGTATTGTTTGGCTTCCCAGAGAAATACATAGATTTTTCCACATTTGGTTTTATTACCACGTACCTGTTTGTACACATCCCCATTATGAAAATACTTGGCTTTCAATTATCGTCTCAGTGCAAACATGGCCTGTAATGAAATAAAGATAAGGTGTGCGTGCATACTGTATATTGATGATTGTCCTATAGCCTTATACAATGTGTTTCTTATGGACTGGTATCTGTACAGTGGACGTTCAGTACATGCTGTTATTTACCATCTTGTTCCACTATAACGAGGACCAGTCAAGCTTCATTATGTCTACTGTTTGTGCAGGGCCAGTCCTTCGATTGGCTCATTTAAATGCATTATTTACACACACAGTGCACTGTGGGAAATTAGAAATGTACTGTACTGTGAGCAACAATGGAAAGTCTAAGATTTGGGAGGAGTTTAAAAGGTCATTGGCCAAGTTACAAAACCCAAGAAAAAGGAATAATTAGGCTTGTCCATAAAACATAGTAGTCCATAAAATTCACAGTTTGTTGCAAAATGATGAAGAGACAGTCATTTAAATTATGAGAATTAAAAAGCTTTTAGGATTTCCCAATTCTTTCAAATCCAATTCTTATATAAGTAGTCCACATTTTATCATACTGGTCAGAGTGTTTACAAAAATGTAACTCTACATACTCCGTATAGTTCATTACTGAATAATGAAATAGCCTGTATTGCACAATTATTAGTTAGTATTATAGTCCCTTAAATTTTCTCTTTTCTTTTTATTCTTTTTTTTTAATTTATATATTATTTATGGACATTAATAACAAGAGATACTGACTGAAAAACAAGACAAAAGACAGTGTTGAGTGTTATATATATACTGTGTGTGTGTGTGTGTGTGTGTGTGTGTGTGTGTGTGTGTGTGTGTGTGTGTGTGTGTGTGTGTGTGTGTGTGTGTGTGTGTGTGTGTGTGTGTGTGTGTGTGTGTGTCAGAGGTGGGGACTTGCAAGTCGTGACTTAGACTTGAGTCACTATTTTTAGGACTTGAGACTTGACTTCATAAAATGGACTAAGACTTGGGACTCGACTTGGACTTGAAGGTCATTGACCTAGGACTTGACTCGCATTTTTAAATCTGAATTTGTTCTATTCTGACCATAATGATTCACACTAAGTTCTTGTCAAGGCACTTTAAAAGGAAAACTTTGCATTTCTACAACTCTAATATACTCTATAAATACTTAATTAAATATACTATGACTTTATAAGTACAATTTATCCTAAAAGTCATATAAATTGAAAAAAATCTATGCTATATTTGGTACTTTGGTTTAAAGACTTGAAATGATTTGAAGCTCAAAGCAGACGACTTGGACTTGACTTGGATTTATGAGCCAGTGACTCGAGACTCGACTTGACTCAGACTTGAGGTCAAAGACTTGAGACTTACTTGAGACTTGCAAAACGATGACTTGGTCCTATATATGTGTATGTATATGCCACTTTGATATTCTTGATAGAAAGTCAGTTATTGTGTAGATATCTCTTTGTGTCAGCTACTGCATTTATTTACTCATAACTACTGCCTTTTTGTCAAACAATTTATTTTTACCCTCAACATAATATTTTGTTAAATTGCCAGGGACAGAGCTATTGTTAAAGTAATATAATGCTAGTTGGTGAAGCACTTGAATTTGATGAAAGGGAACTGAGGTAAGAGTTAATATTGGCTCTTGTTGTTACTGAGTGTCATTTATTTAAGTTCCCCATCAAAGACAATGCAGTGGGAGAGAGGAGAGCAAGTTTCTCCCCTTGAGAGTAGGAGCTTATTTGAAGTGTGCAGGAGACTGTATGTTTAAACTCACACAGATTCAAACATGAGGCTGGGTACGTCGCAGGACTGTCACTCAAACCCTCAGCATTCACCTATGCAGATGGTCAGAGGTCCCAGTCAGGACACCCACATCAACTGTATCTGATTCAGTATCACATGTAAAAGTAGAGTAAGAATTTCCGCATTATTTTAGTACTTGAGTTTGTAATATGTTATATATATATTTTCTACTGTATGTACGGTATTGGTTGTTCTCCTAAACTATACACCTTTTCAGTAATAAATATGGTGAAAAAATAGAAGTAGAAGAAGTAGTTATAGTGCAACATATTGTATTTATTTTGCCATTTAAGGAACACATTACAGAGCAGAGAGGTAAATAGTTGGAGCCGAGCACTACCCCAAGTGTCATTGAGTGTACAGTAATCGATCCATACTGCAGATCTATAGGTTTCGACCGTAGAGTGCATAAAGAAATGTACAAAGGGAGTGTGACATCATTTATAGTGTTCGGCTGCAGTCAAATGAAATTCTCTAGGCTAGCAGTTTTAGGAATAGAATTTATTTCTGTACAAACTAGCATACTAAAAACACTAGAATCATGTAGAGCGAGTTAATATGAACATTTTATGACCAAAATGATGGGACTGCAGCAGTTACAGAGAGGGGTGAGAGTTTTTTAAGTCAGTTGGAGCTAGGTCGATGGAGCCGGAAACGCCCCTATGCTCACTTCCTATTTAGAATGTGGCGGATATCAGGTTAGCTATGTCCATTTCTATATACAGTCTATCGTTTCAGCACACTGCCATAATATGCCCCTGGAGTCTTCCTTTTCTGGTGTTCTGGTACTGAATTTTATATCATATCATCACAAATCACAGATGGAAGAAGCCCTCCTGGAGCCTATACATTTTTAGTTAATTTCTTATGTTTATGTTTAATGTGTAGAGACTACTTAGTGGCAATAAGGGTTTTGTGCTGATCTCATCATAATTAGAAAACGCTTCCGCTCTTTCCCACATCCCCTTCTTGATGTGCCTAATGCTGCTTTCATTTTGCAGAACTCATTTAGGGAATTGAGAGCAGCATTAAATGGCAATTCAAGTGTTCAGACTGACTGTGCTCTCATACAGTTTGTTTGTAACTGTGTTCCTATAGGTACTCAGTTCTGGTGTCTTTTGGACATTGTGCCTATCAAGAATGAGAAGGGAGAGGTTGTCCTGTTCCTTGTATCCCACAAAGACATCACGGACAAGAAGAAGGAGCAGAGTCCAGAGCAAGGGCCTGAAACAGGTGAGTGCACTTGATGATTTGCAGTGACATAAGGCTGGGGGGGGTGTCACACAATCCACACATTAGCAATCACTTAAATACATCTTAAGATAATCTAAAATTCAATAAAAAAAAAATACTAAATTGATTTAAAAACACATTTTCAGGAGCCAGTGATCAATACAAGTTTTCATGGTCCTGTTTAAGGTCTGATTTTCAACAAAAGATCAAATTATGTTAAAAGAAAGCTCAGATTAAAGTCTCACAAGCCTCAGATAGAGCAGTGCTTATACTTAGCATCAAACCCCCCAGAAAATGTTGATGACATCAGCTGCAAAGTATCAGTATTACTGCATTTATATTATGTAATCTTCTGATAAATGCAGAAATGTGATAATTGTGTTTTATTTCTTATAGCTGGTGTTAGCAATATTCAAGGATAAGAAAATATGATATTGCAGATTGGTGGATGCTTACTATACAAGTTGATTTAACATTGTTATTCTGGGAGCAAATAACACAATCTGAAGTTGGCAGGACAAGTCAATTGTAATGAAAATGTGCTGATCCTCCCTGTTTCAGTATCAGATAGCATTGTTTTACCCCTGCTCCAAAGCACTTCTTATTTCTCCACACTAACCCTCACATGCTGGTTAAGTCCACATAAGCACTTCTGTGATTGATGGTGGCTCTGGCTCTAGTTTTGTCACAGCCAAATTTGGGTGCACTTCACACACTGTAGGAGACTCAGACACTTACAGAAGAAAAACTTAAGAATTTGTGCCCAGGCTGGTTTTGGATTCATGACACCCCACAATCATCATGACACAAGTGATCAGGAAACAGGTCCAATATCAAGAAAGGGTTTCAAAAGAGAGGCCATGAGGATGACTTTGAAAAAGATGTCTCACCTCGCTTGCAAGAAACCTGGGAGTTCTGAAACAAAACTGTCAGAAAGCTGAATTAAATATAATTTTAACCTAACAAAGAGCTTTGAAGGAAATCATTCTTTAAAGAGAAATGATAAGATGTAACTTACCAGTCATTCACACTCAAAACATTGTCAGGAGAGGGTAATGGTGTTAGACTGTAAACGACCTCACAATTCATTATGCATATAGTTTCACAACTGATAAAGATTGTTAGACATGTTATAAATAATATAAAGGCACAGTCCAAGTTGACTGTTGTAATTGTGAAACCAGTTTATGGTGCAGGATTAACCAGGACTAGAACAGGACAAACCCAAGACTACCTCTGGACTAAACTGGCCTCAAACAAGTCTGAAGATCCTATATTATGCAAAATTTTCTCTTGTGAACTTTAAGTCATGTTATAATGTTGTTATCTCATCAAAAACATACCTGGAGTCATGTTCTGTTGCATTCACACATGTTTGAGTAATCCTTTATTAGTCTACACCTTCAAATCTCAAAATTCTCTGTTCCACCTTGTGATGTTATGTAGTAGTAGTTTCAAGTTAACTGCTGCCTTTTTCCTTTTGTTTAGTACAGACAGGCAATTCCTGGGCTGAAATTATCCAAATGATTCTAATGAAGGTATATGGAGCTTAAAACACTGTGGAGCACCTCCTGTATTATTGTATTACTACATGACATCACAAGGTGGAACAGAGTATTTCCTGTTTAAGAGAAAGCACTTTTATGTGTTAAATATGTGTGAATGAAACAAAACACAACTCCAGATATGTTTGTGATAAGGAAACAACATTATAACAGATCAGAAAATAAAACTTCAGTAGTGGATGTATAGCAACGGTGCGCTGTTAAATGACATGAATTCCACCCATGTTCTCACTAACGCTGTACGCTTTGGTGTGTCTATAGCCTCTTAATCAGCAGTCCAAGTGCGCCCTTCACGGCAGCCTGAGTCATTTCTATAGGGTGACCCTTTTACTGAAAGCTCACCTTGTTGAGTTCAACCCGAGTTTCCCGTCGCCATTGGTAACCGTTTGCCATCGGTCTGTGTGACCTTTTGCACTGCCGCTTTAATCTTTGTGAGTGTGCCTTAAATCTCTGCCCACTTTTATCTCCCTGGTACCATTAAGTTTGGTAGTTTAACCCTGTAGACCTACTATTATTGTGCTCCTGTCCCTTCATACTCTATCCTTAACTTTAAAAAGCATTGTGTACTATTTATTACTGTAGTTTATAGACTACTATAAAGCCTTTTACAGAGAGAAAGATTGTCACACTCAGTTCTGTCTTCTGTTGCATCAAAGCCATTTCAAATATCCTGTACTGATACAATGAGCAAATTGGATTTAGTGGCCCAAATGAAAATGATTGGGTTACAAGGGAGGGTATTTGCCAAACATGACTTGGTAATAGGGATGGAGTGGATTATTCATTAATGCTAAAATCGAAGGAAGCACAATTATAGGGTTACATAATACATTTAGACACAGCACCACCCTTTCAAATATGACTAAAGGATCAAATTTGCTCAACCAACAATGGGAATTGGTATAAATCTATTGGGGAAACAAACAAAGTGACTGATTGTCCTGAGCAGTGTGTGATGTGAGAGCCAATGGTCAAAATAAATGGACTTTTCTGACTGCAGGGACTGTGTAGCACATGCCCAAAAGGGACTACGACCTGTTTTGTTTTCCTTGTGTCATTCTTTCCTCCCTCTTGCCACTTGTTTATGTCAAGCTACTTCATCTCAGTCTGAAAACATAAAATATAAATATATATATGTCCTTGAATATTATTACCATATATTGCTGTCTACAGTCTTTTTACTGGTAAGTGATGAATGGTTACAAACAGTATATAGCACTGTTTACATTATTCTAAATAAAGTATTTGTTTTTTTCTTGGGAGAGACGTAAAGCATATTCAAAATAAAGAAGTAATCAATATTTGTTGATATATATACTTTGAAAAACTCTGAAGTTGCTACTTCTGCTTCTATCAGTAGTTCTTTGTGCTCCTCAGATGAAGAGACCGGGCTGGAGGTGCACCAGGTCACTCGACCTCCAGGGTTCAATGCAAACCGCCGCCGCAGCAGGGCTGTTCTCTATCACCTCTCTGGACACCTGCAGAAACAGGACAAGAGCAAACTCAAGATCAACAATGTGAGTGCCGTATGCATTCAGAGCACTGGATTACGGACTGTGACGGCCCAAGGTTGAGCTGGAGCGGAGCTGTGTCTGACAGTTCAGTGCAATGGGCAGCCTCATTTGCAAAAAAATAAAATTGTTTGCAGTAATATGTGAAAGACAGAACCATAATCAGTGGCATGTACCACAGATTAAAGAGTTTACCAGTTTATTTCTTCCTGTATTTAGTTTGTCACAGTAATAGCTGCAGCATCAGGCTGTACACATGTAGCAGATGGTCTCAAGGTCACCACTCATACGCTACTGTGGTGAGACTTTAGGTCATGGTGCACTGATTTCTGCTGATCTCAGTGGGTAAAAACGCAGACTCATCTGTTCTGAGAAAGATTCACAATCAAGATCAGTTACACTGCAAATAATAATGAAGGATGAACCAAGAGAGTTGCTGAATTCTTAATACCCAAGTTATCCAAAACATGCTGTTTTCGAACAAGCTGTATGAAAAATTCTCTTTACTGTTCTACTTGTTTGTGAGTGTGAAAACAAGTCATATTTTGTCTAGGTCAGAGCATTTCCAAAACTACAGCCCTTGGGGAGTGTTCAAGGTCTTTAGCAGCCTGTAACTTTTAAATGTTGTTGAGGTGGGTGCATATTAGGCAGATTTCGATGTTATTATGTGTAATCTTTATGTATATTGTATTTATTGACCCAGAACATGTTTGGAGAGAAGCCCCCGATCCCTGAGTACAAGGTGGCGGCCATCCAGAAATCTCGCTTCATCCTCCTTCACTATGGGACGTTCAAGGCGGGCTGGGATTGGTTGATTCTTCTGGCCACCTTCTATGTGGCCGTCACTGTGCCCTATAACGTGTGTTTCACTGTGGGAGGGGGACGGGACGAGGGCAACATCAACGCCCCACGGAGCCCCCCCAGCGTCAGCGACATCCTGGTGGAAATCCTGTTCATTTTAGGTCAGTATTTCAATTTTTGTCTGTAGATTTGCTAGTAAAATGTGTATGTTGATAAATCAAGAGATGGAAATTGTACTTTTAAATATACTTTTTTTATACTACTATTACTAGTGTATATATATATATATATATATATATATATATATATATATATATATATATATATATATACTACTAGACTTTTGTATAATATGTATACTTTTAAAGTACACTACCAGTTTGTTTACTACTTTTTTTATACAGAAGACATCAAACATATGAAGTAAGATTATGAAGCAAAGAAAAGTAGCGCTACAATTTACAAATATATTTTATATTCAGATCCTCAAATTAGTCTTCCTTTGCTTTGCTGAAAAATATTTAGTAGTTATTTAACTTTTTTTTACGTTTTTCGTTACTAAATTATTTTATATATTTTGCTTCATACATCTGATGTTTTCTGTATGTATATAAAAAGTAGAAAGTGGTAAGAAAAAAGAAGACATTGAATGAAACAGTAGGCTCAATCTTGCCCCAATTTGAGCACTAGGGCAGGCGTCCCAGGTCGGGCTGTACTCTGCTGGAGGCTGGAGTGGGATGGTACAGGTACATATATGGTGATGACATCTGAACTATGACCGCTGTGGTGTTTAAAAATTACAGCCAGTGATGTAATGTAATGTAATGTCTGCAGTCTTTGTGTTTCGAACACTCTGTGCGCACTTAGCTCCCTTCTCATGCAGACACACAAAAGCATTTATCATCCTAATATATTTCCACATTGCTTTTCAGTGGACTAGTTTGATGTTTATTTTTACGATTCTGAGAATTTACTGAACGTGCCACACCAAGCCCTCATTCTGTTCCATTCCACCTGATATTCAGCCACGGCACACCTCTTGTTTAGAGCTCCACGCTCCACACTTGCACTAGTGCTAAGATCGGGGGCAAGATCAGGCCCAGTGTGTGCAAACCTTTGCCTGATGCTGTTTTTGAACTTACAATACAAGTCAAAAGTTCGAACACACTCTCCCATTCCCTTTACTATATCATTCTTTGCTACATAATTCCATATACGGTATCTTATTTCATGTATTGGATGTATTCTATATGTATCCACAAAATAGAAAGTAGTAAACATTTAGCAAAAAACATTGACCTTAAGGGTGAGTGCAAACTTTTGACAGGTAGTTGATAATATTTTATGCAGATTTTGACAAATTACCATAAGGGGTAGTATCAAATCAATGCCAAATTGTCATAGTCAAGTGCACACTGGGGGATTTTTGCTGTAGCATTCCCAAAAAGAAAAAAAGAAGCTAACAAGAATTACATAATGTGACACAATAATCAAATGTATCACAACTGAGCTGTATTGTTTCAGCCATCTTTTGAAATCCTTAAAAGCCTTTACATAATTGTGCTTGACTTTGTATTCATACAACTCGTACAAACTGTCTCATCATATTCCTAAAGAAAACAGTAACAAGTTGCAAGAGAGTCATTTGTCAATACCAAAGTTTAATTGTACTTTTTGTTATTATTCCCACTCAGCAGTAAAAGGATATGAGGCATTACACTGGACAATTATGTCTGATGGCAAACTCATTTCCCTCAGAGTTCGTCTCCGTCCACCTCACTGTACAAAACTTATGAGTGCACTTTAAAGGACCATTTAGCTTAATGGAACCGAATGGCACAAACGGCAACAATAAAACTCTATAGGCGCCCTGCAGTAAAGTTACAGAGATTTGTCAGTTAATTTCTTTTTGGAATAATAAAAGGTTAAGCTAAGTTATGACAAAATGTGTACATTATTTCAATTAGTGTTTGTGGTAGTATGGCACTGTAGTAGTGACAAAGCAGTAGTAGTGAGTGGAAGCCAACTCGCAACGTATATGTTGGGAATGGCTTTGAGCTCAGGTTACACTTTTGTTAATAATAAAAATAAGGCGGTTAAAGAAACCAAAACTGTTCATATTGTGTAGAATAGTTGTTTTAAAGCAAACAACTGAACAAATTATTTTCATCCTGCCTTCCCAAACTGCCTCAAATTGTCTCAAAGAAAAAAAAAAACAAAAAAAACATATACAGCACAAATGGACACTTGACCTCTGGTTTTTGGGTCTACCATTGTCTAATATATCTAATATACTGTATAGCTCTATTACCATTCGACTATTATAATAATGAAGTAGTTGTTAATCCTCTCATTTTTTGTCAGGTTCAGGTTAAACATGTGTGGATTTAAAAAAAAAAAAAAAAAAAAAAGTATTTCTTTGGAAAATACAATGTAAGTAATTGGAAAAACGCGTTCACAATTGTAAAATCTGAAAACCATTCATCTGTGTAAATTCTTTCAGACATTGTGCTAAACTTCCGCACTACCTTTGTGAGCACGTCTGGTCAGGTGGTGTATGACGCCCGCTCCATCTGTGTCCACTATGTCACCACCTGGCTGTTTGTGGACCTCATCGCGGCTCTTCCCTTTGACCTGCTGTACGCTTTCAACGTCAGTGTGGTGAGTCATGCCTCTGTGCACCTCCAGGGGGCGTAATACTTGTTTATATTCATCAATAAGCTTACCAGACATCTGTGACACAATACAGGGGGTTGGCAAATCAGCCCTCTCATCTTATATCGGCTATGAAAGGACAATCTTATGAATCTCAATAGTTCATTTTCCATGTGCCAAGTTTTGAGACAGAACACAATGGAGCATAATGTCAAACCCTCCCCTGTGAGTCTCACATCCACACCACAGCCAAACTCCTCCACTGCAGACACCTGGCCCCGAGCCAAGCCAAGATGATGCTGAGTTTGATTTCCCCCATGCTTCAGAAATGAAAAAAAAAAACAACAAAAAAAAAACTTTAGGCTGAATTGCATTTGACATAAAGTCGTACAATCACTTAACAGATTCTTATATGCAGTAATATGCAAAGATAGCTTTGAATATTGAAAGATGTATCATTGGTCTAAAATTCCACTCTCCAAAAGAGATCAAAATCTGCAACTAAATTATTCATACTCTTGTTGATCCACTGAAATTAGAATTTTCTGAAACAACAAGTTGACCAAAGAATCTAATAGAGCAGTGACTGTATTTACATGCACACCAAAAATCTAATCTTTTTCTGATTTTAAATTATTGTAATGTAACGTAAACAGTCAGTAAACATCAGATGTGAGTAGTCTGATTTCTTTCTCATTGTTCGCACATGTGCAGAAAATTATGCAAGATTAGACGTGTTAATTTTGAAATTCATTGTTTGCCTTCCAAATACAACAGTTACTCCATTATCTACAAATCCACTAATTGACTAACATGTGTTTGTGATTATCAGATCAGAACAGATTTCTTTTGTGCTTGTAAACACACCGCAATAATCAGATCTATTTCTTGGGAAACTTGATTATTTATTAGGATTATTACTTTTTTTATGGCCACTGTTGCAAAGTCCTTTTCCTACCTGATAAACGTATTCATGTAATAATTTGTTTGTAGTACTTTGGAGTGAACCTGCTGAAGACGGTGCGGTTGTTGCGGTTACTGAGGCTGCTGCAGAAGTTGGAGCGTTACTCCCAGTACAGTGCAGTGGTGCTGACTCTGCTCATGTCCATGTTTGGGCTGCTGGCACACTGGATGGCCTGTGTGTGGTACTTCATCGGACGCAGGGAGATCGGGAGCCCGGGGTCCTGGGACATTGGTCAGTGCTCTTTATATATGTTCTTTATACTAATCATGCATAAGGCAGGCTTTTTGAGTTTAATAAATGTTTTGATTAACAGGATATATATGGTATTAAGCAGCAAAGTTTGATCCTCAAAGTTGAATTCAATTCAGAAATAGTTGTCAAAAGTAAGGATTAGATAAGCAGCCATATAATGAGACTTATGTGATAGGACAAAGTCATTCAATAGGAGCTCTGGTGAAATGTTCTTGAACCACATACTAGAAGGGCATATGGTCATATATGGTCATAAAGTCACTTGGTATGAGACACAGAACACATAATATTGGCAGCCTGAAGAAATTCTTGACAACGGCTTTGTGTCTTCATATTTAGTGTCACTTTTGAAAGAAAACAAATGTTTCAAGGATTTTATTTGATCAACTACTTGTTGCAGCAGAGTCTAAACAACAGCATGACAGAAAGTTTGTCTGTATTACGCACATAATTATTATTATATTGTGGAAAATAATGCTATACTATGTAGCATATATGGTATCACATTAACTGTAAATCAATTATTTCCTGGGGCCTGCATATTACTTTGTGTTTATAGTCTATATACAAAGCCATTACATTAGATATTTACCGATGTCTAAAAGTAGCTTGTGTAGATGAGTATTATTACTCCAAAGAGAATTGTGGTCCATTTCCTCTTTGGTCGGAAAGCTTTTAGTCTGCATTTGTTTACTGCTGCCACATTTCACTGCTACTCAGAGTGTACTCTGAATATTCAGCCATGATAAAAAAGGATAAAGAGAAGATGAGATCCACAGAGCACGGAAAGGAACACTTTCAACTTTCCAAATAATGTTTTTCCCAGATTAAATTGTAGATTTGAATTTCTGATGACTCTTCTCTTATCTAATGAACTCTATTAACTAAAGGAGGCACATTTCACTGACACACAGAGACACTGTAATTACAATGGGTTTGTTTCTTCACAGAAATTTAGGAAAGACAAGAATAGAAGAAAAAAAGGGACAGACAGTTCAGAGACAGATGTGTTGAGTAGTTTAGAGACAGTGACACTGTGGGATGAACAGGGCCAAAGCAGGGGGTAGCTAGAGCCTAAGATGTGGAGGAATGAGTTTTAATGAGGTCCTGATTTAATGAGGTCCCATGTACCGATATGTTACTGGTATCAGATATCACTGCTACTACTACGGTACTGAACATTTTGATCAGATATCGGTTCAGTCAATATCCTATTTTGGTCAATACATTTGTGTAATATTAATTGTGGTCCAAACACCTAGTGATATTGTTCTGTAGTTACTTAAAATGATAAATAACAGTTTCAAAGCACGTTTAGATAAAAAAATAAATAAATTAACCATACGCCATATGTTTAAAGGAAATAAATTATAGTTTCACTTTATTTAGTCTCTGCCCTATTATTGGTTGATATTGGCTTTTAAAGCCAAAGCATCTGCATCGTAACAGAAAAAGCTGTATTGGTGCGTTCTTAGTTCAATGAGCCATCACAAATTATTCTTGTCAAACTCATCATTAGTTGCTCCATAATATATTCCTCATTACCATAACTATACAATAGATGTTTTCATTAAACTTCTCAAGGGTAACGGTCAGTGCACATAGTAATTCATAACTATATTATTACACTACTACTCACTTCCTTCTTCTTCTTCTTGGCTTGTCACTGATTCTGATCGTACGTAACACAGTCAGTGTATCTTTATGCCCCATCAATACTGCATTCAGAAAGAGAAAACGTCCAGTGGACACACAGGACCAGGCTGACCTATTGGTGACACAGGCTCTTTCACCACAGCGCTCTGATATCGGCATGTCCATACAGCGGAGGCCCTTTCTCTGCCAGTCACTTGGAGATAGTGTATGTCAGTGGCACAGTTCGACATCAATATTTAAAGCGGAGCAGAGCGAGGGCTGTTCATATAACTGCTGCTGTGAACGTCAGGCTTCGTGGAGCATGAATTAGAGAAAGTGAAGAGTGACAAGTATTACAGTATCATAGCACACTAAGGCACATTATGGATAATTATAAAGTACCTTTTACTTAGCCTATAGCTGTCTCCATTACATAGACGTTTAATCATTATAATTCTAGTTCTCAAAGTGAATATTCTCTTTTGCCTTTGGAGAGTTAAGTGAAGAGTGAATATTTTTTGTGACACCTCTAAATATAGTTGAATAAGTGTACAAAAATATAGGCCAGGCTGCCTGCGTATGCTTTTATAATGTTACATTTACCCCAAAAGACCTGCAATCATTTCAGTTCAGTGTATTTAAAAAAAAAAAAAAGATAACATTGTATATTACTTTGAGTCTTTGTCACCTTTACATCAAAATAGATATGATATTTTATTTTTTCATATCTATTTTTTATGTGACAACTGATAAGACAAGATTAGATTCTTAGAAATAGAATCCCACCTTCAGATTACTGTGAAATCTCTTCTTTTTTCAAGAATCTTTACATATATCCTCCCTGAGTAGTCTGCTGAAACACATTAGAATCTGGACAAGTGTCATGCATGCACTGTGAGCTGCTATGGAGTAACTAGCACCATGGACAGCTTGTGATCGTGAATTCAGCACCATGGACAGAGGCAGAGGCTGAACACTGCAGTTTCTATGTGAACATCACTGAAGTGTCATATATCTCAAACCCTGCTCTCCATTACACCAGCAGACAGGGCTGTTCTTTCACACAGAGCGTGAAATAGTCATGTTTGGTTCATAGTCCAATCCATTATTCCATTATTTTATTTATTTTAAGCCTCTGTTTTAACACAAAAGTTTGTATCATGAGTTATTGTTATCAGCTCTAACTTATTTGGTACTTTTGCTCCCTGATACAACTGTTTCAATAGTAACAGTTCTCTAGAATTTGATTATGTAAAAGTCACTGTTTTTGAATATGTGTTGAACCTCGTTTATTTGGCTCCATAAACTTGCCATATTATTTTTATGAGTTCAAGTTCATACATCTTCAAGCAGCCAAGTGTCTTGATTATTTTGATCCCCATTAAAATCTGCAGCACATTGCAACAGCTTCTCTTCTTGGGATCATTTAATTTTTTTCACAATGACCCAACTAAAAACAATTACATTTTTACACCGAACTAACTATAAAAACTAAAAACACAATTTCTGGAATTGTAATAACAATAACGATTCCAGATAAAACATGAAATTACATGAAAACCAGCTCACACTTGCTTTATTCACATAGTTTCCAACATTTGTTGCCAGCTATGCTTTCTGAGTTGCTTTTTGAACCTATACCCCCACTTTGTCCCCTTATATTCAGTGGTAAATGATTCCATTCCTTCATTGCTGCAAACTTCAATGTACTTGGTGGTCCTGATTCGTTCTACATTTTGAAACAGAGTGAAACATTGCCCTTCAAAATCCCTTGTTGAATAACAATGAGTATTTTTACTGAAAGTGAGTTTGGGGTAGAATATACAGTGTGTCTGAGTTGTAGTAATATTTCTTAAAAAGTTTGTTTTTGCATAGAGCCATCTAGAAAGCCAAGAAAGTAGTTTATGTATTTAGCAGCATTAGCCCTAAAAGCATATTTTAGCACCACACGTGCAGCTCTGTTTTGCACTAGCTGTAATTTTCTCACATTATCCAATGAAGTATTTGACCAAATGACTGCACAATGATCCAAATGAGACAAAACTGGGCTCTGAATGACATATGGGATGATTTGTTTAGTTAAGTACAGTATTTTGAACATATTTTTATTGCTGCTAGACTGCTTCCCATTTTAGAGACCATGCTGTTTACTTAATGGTCCCAGTACAGTTGCCTGTCTATCCAGACTCCAGACTCCTCCACTGTTTCAAGGTTGTATACGTTATAGAGAGATTTAGCTGAGATTTGGCTCTTATGGAATGTTTAGCCCAATGACAATGCTTGTTGTTTTTCCAACATTCAAAATGAGTTTGTTGCTTTTGAATAATGGCACCACTTTCTAGCACTTGCAAAAAAATTAATGCACTGCACTTGAGTTTAGAGAAGACGATGTCATGTGGATAGACCCAGTAATTACTGATATATTGATCAGTTCAACAGATCTGCAATCTGACAGTTAAACAAGGGATCCCACCCTAGAATTCTGATGTGTTCTCCAGCTCAATTATAAACTATAAAGACTGTTGCAATGTCATGTGAATGTAACCTCTTTGTCCTTCGGGACAGGTACCAAGAGAACACTGGTTTGTGAGTTCTGATTTAAATGCAGCTGATGTAATATAGGGGAATATTTTAATGTAAATTGATATGGGCTGGTGTTGAGTTACTGGAATAGGATAATTCACTGTATTTCTGCATGACTGTTGAGATTAGATGGGGGGAGTGGCTTGTATGTGAATGTTATCTCAGAATCCATTATCACATGACAACCCGCACATGAGTAATGTACAGAGTGCTCTGTGTTTCCCCCCTGAGTGACGGGATAAAAGGAAGTCCTTGTACCTTATTTGTTATCAGTACACACACAGTTCAGCCTTCGTCTTGTCCGTGACTCCAGAGTGCTGCACAGGTTAAGAGCTGCTAATGACAAAGTAATTAGAAAACTACTCAGGTGTTAAATCCTCTAATGTTGTTTGTTTGGTTGTGACTCTTCTCCCAGCTCAGTTGTCAGAGTCTGCAGGCAGTGACACATGACAGCAGCAGGTACACACCAAGTAGTAAACACATGCACACACACACACACACACTCACACACACGCACATACATGAGCAAGCACACATGCATGTGTACACACACAGGTCACACTGGTCTTGGAATATAAATATGTAAAGCTTTGCATCCTCTGCCCTGGTCTGCACATACACACATATGCAATGTGATTTGTTTTGCCCCTGGTGTAACTTGCGGCTTATCATTTCTGTCGGTCCATTTTTCAATATAGCTTTACCTTTTGTTCTAGTTCCTTTGTGCCTTGTCTGTCCTTAGTTTCACTATTCTCTTTGTAGAAAGTTGGTTTAAACTATTTTGATTGTTGTCTATTTTATGAAACAATTTTAATGATGCCTAATCAGTTATTCTGAAGGATGAAGAATGTCAATTCCAAAAAAGATTGGAGATGCTCTCAGACAAAGTGAAATGTTGGCATTATTTTTAGGTCTGAGCACCAGAAGCTGGCGAAGGGTCTATTAGTATCACAAAGCGATGCAATGATAAGAGTAGTCGGAAAGTGAAATGATGTGAAGTGATTTGCCTGTAGTGACCAGGTACACCCACCATGACGCAGGAATGTGCCAGAGCTTTTTGAAAATGACTAGTTTAATACAGTATATAGAAAAAAGCGGAACACTGTTCTTACACATTTTTTACCTAGTGAACAGTGGCAAAATTTGCCCAACATTCAAACTTGTGCTTCATAACTGCCCCAGGAAAACACTGTGCTCATGGTAAAAGCACAAATGCAACAACAGACAAATGCTCTATGCATTTTGATGGGGATACACGTATACACTCACATAGAGTATCAACAAATAGGGTTCTATTTCTGAAATATACACGTACCAAGTGTTGGCAGTGTGGCCGTCCTCATTCATTTTTAATGCATTCTAAAAAATATGTGTTCAAAAGTTGTAGTTTTACGCTTCAATAGGGTGAAATTTTATTAATGTATTTTTTTGAAACTTTAGGGTATAGGAAAGATGGCCAAAAAAAAAATGCAGGGCGCAGTGTTTGCACAGCGTTGGTACAGCGTTGGCGCACGTGCGGGCCGATCATTGCCACTTGCGACTATATTTGTTTTTTGTTTCCATGTATGACAGGTCCTATTTGCTATGGTTAATATACTTTTTTCTCTTGTTCAGGTTGGCTGCATGAACTGGCCAAGCGCCTGGGCACTCCTTACTTCCTGTCCCCCTCTCCCACCCTGGTTCCGGGGGTGGTAAGCAGCCTGCAGCCCAACAGCAGCCAGTGGAACCTGACCGGGCCAGAGGTGGTGGCGCAGACCTCCTGGAACTCCTCTCAGTACTTTGGGAATATATCGGCAGCAGATGTTGTGTCCGGGGCAGGTGCAGGGGGCGGGGGCATGGGGGTCCTGGCAGGGGGTCCTTCTATGCGCAGTAGCTATGTGACCTCTCTGTACTTCGCCCTGAGCAGTCTGACCAGCGTGGGCTTCGGGAATGTGTCAGCCAACACTGACTCGGAAAAGATTTTCTCCATCTGCACCATGCTCATTGGAGGTTTGTGGTCTTACCTTTCTCTTTCTCTTTTGTATTAATAGCCCAGATGCAATTGTTTCTCCTTTTGTACTGTGTATTTTACTAAGTAATAATAATATATGTAACAAAAACATAATGTCCTACAATTTTATGGGCTATGTTTTATAACGCTAAACATAGTCCATAGTAATGTCAGATTTTGATTTATAAAAATGTAGGAAATACTTCTAAATCGACGTGCTAACTTGACAAATTTGACTTGTCTCAAACTTCTGCCGCTAGAGTGTTGAACTGTGCAACTGTTTGTAAATCTTTTTTTTTTTTTTTTTTTTCATTTTAACTCACCATATCTTGCACCACAATAGGCATTATTATGGGTTCAACCCATAATACCTTTTATATAGTTAGTTTTAAATGCATTTCTAACAAAATAATTTACAGTTAACAAACTGTGCATCTTTTCTACACTGTAAATATTGCCTTGTTCTAAACCCATTCTTCTTACTATGTCCTGATCTACTGTTACAGTTTTATATTCTAGTTTCTCTATCTATTATCTACTGACAGTGGGACATCAGCACACAGTATTGCACAATTTGTTCTTTCCCAGGTTCAGAAAAAAAACATCTTTTGTCGTTCACATAATAGCCACCTGGGGAAAAAAAACACTTTCACTAGTCTTTTATACCGACTTGACTTGAGCACTTTACATGTAAGGGTTCCAATCCATTTTCACAGTGGCACTTTGGAAAATTTGGCAGACTAAAGAATCACTGATTATGATTTTAAGGACACCAAAACATTAAAACATCATGCTCCCCTTTAAAGGTGCACTACATAATCTTTCTGATAAGCGGCCATTTGTCTCCATGAGGATGTTATTGCTGTTGGAATTTTCCCTAGTATGATGCTGGTGATGAATGTTTATGTTGCTTACTGTCAGTGGGCTCGCCTCCACACAGATCTGACCTGTAACTTGGCCTGGTGCAGAAAATTAAATTTAATGCCATACTGTGGAACATTCCTGTCATAGCAATAACATCTCTGGAATGTTTCACAGTATGGTATTAAACCTTTTCATCTACACCGAGACCAAACCAGACCAAATCTGTGGAGAGACAAAACTCGATCATATTTATAATGCTTTTTTCAGGTATTTTGAAGCTATTAAAGCACCTGTAATTTAATAAATGTAAGGTAGAGCTATTTATTGTCATACTGTAGAACACTCCAGATAGAGCAATGGCATATCCATAGAAAGAAGCAGATGACAGACCCCCAATCAGAAAGTTACATAGTGCACCTTTAAAGATGTATTTCTATACATTTTCATAATTGCAAAAACAGTACATGTACAATTGAAGTTTTATGTCAAAGTTTTGTTATTAGTTGTGATCTCCTTGGGTGTGCTTGGCAGCTGTGGAGTATTTTGCAGAGTTAGTATATCTGCTCTGTTGGTCAATGTGCCGGAGGGAACAGTCATTCAGATGTGAACGCATTAGTCAGGGCTGCACTGGGCTGTGTAGGTGGCCCGCTCCAGGATGCCTTCTCAGCAAGTTACATTCAGAGGGCCAATGGCAGTGCACAGGTCTATGGGGTACTTTTTATTTGTGTGACTTGTATAGCAAAGTTGAGCAAACAGGAGTTACAAATAAATATAAATATATATAAAATTATACTGAGTGCATTTGGCATTATAAGTTGAGCGAAGGTTAGGCGAGGGTTAAGGTTACGATTAGGGTTGACCGAGGATTGTGTTAGGGCTAGGGGTAAGGTTAGACCTAGAATTGGGGTACAGTTAGGGGTAGGGCTACATTTAGGGTTAGGGCTAGGGTTAGGAGTTAAGGTAGGGTTAGGTTAAGGGTTAGGGGTTAAGTGCATTTGCAGGGCGCAGTGTTTTCAGGGCACAGCATGTGCAGGATACAGCATAGGAATGGCGCAGGCATGAGCGAGCGATCATTGCCACTTGCTGCTATATTTTTTATGTTATTATTATTATTTATTGTAGCTTTGACTTGTTTGTATTATCTTTGTAACAGTGGGTGGAATTTAATGTAATCTATGAGCAGTACTTTGGAAACTCATGCTTAAAAAAATACAATTTAAGTGGATTTGAATTTGGATTTACCCATTGGTCCATTTTCATAGAGTGTACAACAATAGATTTTTTGCATTTTTGACTACATTTGTAAGATAGGTACATATAGGGTACTATTTGAATAGAGCTTTATCACTACTGTTACGGTGTGATACTGCCACTGCATTGCACTTTTAGTCTTCTATTTTTACTGCTCAACATATTTCTAGATATTTCATGTGTACAACACCTCTGGCTTGACTATTGTCCTGCTGAGTTAATTAGCAAATAGTGAATCAACAATAACACTTACACAGCAATCCTCTTAAGGACTTTGTTCCTTGTATCCTTTGAACATTTATAATCATTGAACACTGTTGTGCCGTTGGTAATTAAATTGAAACCACTTTCTGCTTAACTACAGTCACTTTAACTCTGCTTTTTCCCTCTGGTGCAATGCTTTTAAATATATTTCAAATATATTTTTCTGTGTGTTTTAGCCTTGATGCATGCAGTGGTTTTCGGTAACGTGACTGCCATCATACAGAGGATGTACTCACGGCGCTCGCTGTACCACACACGCACAAAGGACCTGAAGGACTTCATCAGGGTGCACCGCCTGCCCAAAGCCCTTGAGCAACGCATGCTTGAATGTTTCCAGACAATGTGGTCTGTCAACAATGGAATAGATGTCAGCGAGGTGAGGGTCAATTCTATCTGACTGATTTGTGCTCTGACTCAAACTGTGAATTATATGAAGCTAAGTAAGTTTAAGAAAGGACCAGATCTGACCTGTTTAAAAGTGCTGTACCTAATTTAGACAACATCATAATCTTTATTAGACACAAATGTGAGATACTGACAATGAAACGACTAACTGCGGAGAAGCTAGGCAATTATAATTTGTATTGTTCAATGTGAGTTTCTTGTACTTCTTTAATTGGCTTTGCCTCATTTTTCCAATTGAATAAAGGTTTTACAAGGTCATCGGATAGTGACCACTTTAATATTAAATAGATTTTATAATTTCTCACAAAGTATGCTGCATTATTTTCCAAGAACTACAAGTCTTTTACTTTCAATTACCACTTTATTAATATAAATGACTCAGCTTGGACTACAGCTTCTATGTAACTATTGGTTCTGTTGTGTCTTACTACTGCGACAAAACTGTTCAAGTCTGTGTCAGTCCCAACCCTGGATAAATAGTGCCCACCCAGAGCACTGTGAGGATAAAACATATTATATAATTTGGCCTTTAACCTCAGTCTTCTCCCACCAGCTCCTAAAGGACTTTCCTGACGAGTTGCGAGCAGATATCGCCATGCATCTGAACAAAGAGCTCCTCCAGCTGCCACTGTTTGAGTCAGCCAGTAGGGGGTGTTTGCGCTCACTGTCCCTCATCATCAAGACGTCCTTCTGCGCCCCGGGAGAGTTCCTCATTCGCCAGGGAGATGCGCTACAGGCCATTTACTTTGTCTGCTCCGGCTCTATGGAGGTGCTCAAAGACAACACTGTGCTTGCTATTCTGGGTAGGTCCAACATCAGAGGTCCTACACAGTGAATTCATTTGAAGCATTTTGTGTTAGATTGTGCCAGATAACTTTGTACAGTATATGAATGGAATCCTCAGTCTGGACTGAGTTAAGGTTAAGGTACTTTTTATTTGGCCTACTTGTTGTTTGTCACTGTTGGCCCACCTAAAGCTCAAGTCATTCAGTCACACCACAAGCCTTTTGTTTATGGACAGAAAGGCTTTCAGTCACTGTTTCTGTTGTGATCATTGTCGTGGGTGCCCTCCTCCTCCAGACCCCAGTTGCAGGAATAGGCTCCAAACTCTCAAACAGCTCAATGTTTGGTTAAACCAAAGAAATTCAATCAGAAAATCATAAATGGGGGCCAAAGAAATGCACAACATTACAGTGCAGAATTTGAAAATACAAATTATTATCCTTTCCTCAGCTTGTATAATGAAAAGTGTTAATTTAAATCATTCAACCTTTGCTGAAAGTATGAAGCTTAACCAAAGGTTATGTTTGATTTGAGTTACAAAATTACATGCTGCTAGCTAATTATCCCTAGTTGCAACAGAGGGCGCCAATTATTTCAAAGACATTATTCAAAATAGCTTTGATGGAAAATTGGATGAAAATGGCACCTTTGCTTGAACAGACAATTAGCTGTCAAGCCAGGACTTAATGAGACGAAGTAGCATGATTATGATTTCTGAGACGTTGAGCTGCATGTGTAATGAAGGTGAGAATGACATGTGTGCCTGTTTCACACCAAACATTATCAATCATTTATAAAATAGCAATTTCAAGACACACAACAGGCTGTTTCTGTTCCACTTTCAACAATGAAAGGTCTTCATGATCCACATTGTTTGTTATGCTAACAAACAATCCATAAACAAAATGTTTATGAAACATCCCTGGAGTAGTATTTTGTTTCATTCACACATGTTTGATTAATCCATCATTATTAATTTGTCTATATCTCCAAAACCTCTGTTCTACCATATGATGTGATGAAGCAGCTACCTTTTACCTTTTGTTCAGTAAAGATTGGCAATTCCAGGTCTTAAATTATCCAAATGATTCTAGTGAAGGTGTATGGGGTTTAAAAACACAATGGAGCACTTCTTGTATTACCACATGACATCACAAGGAGGAACAAAATGTTTTCTGTGTGAGAGAAGAAATTAGACTTAATGTGCAGAGTTTGTGTGTCAACATATGTGAATTAAACTATATATTTATGTATATTTTTGATGAAGAAACTACATTATAAGATAGATTAGAATATAGTATAATATAAATCCTTTAAATGTGAACACATTTTAGGTCAACCACTTTTTTATCATTGACATTTAAAAGAATTCACCTTCATAGTACATTTCCGAAAATACTGAAAACACATGTCAAGTCTAGTTCCTGTTCAATTCTCCAAAGACATCCGATTCACATCCTCGTTGACAGAAGTAATAAGTCCAGGGTGCTGGCTTAAGTTCTGTTCTATCAGACCTGTGGAGACACTTCATCTGGGGAAAATGGGATCTTGCTGCAGTGGAACAGAAAAATCAAAAATCAAAACTAGACAGATGGATATGAGTTTCAGGGTGGACAATGTTGGGAGGACAGAGGTCTTATAGAGTAATGGCATGGTCCAGCTTGAGCAGTGCAGTAGGAAGTGGATCACACATGACAGCGTGTAACTGGGGAGTGAGTGAGTGAAGAGGAGATCTGTAGCCACAGCAGGGTTCACTACTTTAAAGGTTTCGTGTGATAGATGGATACTATAGAAAGAGATAGGAAGACTTTTACATGGGCTGGATCTGTCATACAAGAAGAACAGAAATGGTAACATAGACCTATAGAAGTTAAAACCTTGTTTGATGAATCCCAATATTGCAAGTGTAAATTTATATCCGATATACATATATGATCGCTTTTTCTATAGGTAACACTAGATTTAATTATCCTTTACTGCTATTTCTATGTAGCTCAATAGTCCTTGAAGTCAGCATTAATTGTTCTCAGTGACTTAAAAAATTATGATAAATAAAAATCTAATATTAATAGTTTAAAGGCATGACTGAGGCTAATATTCACACCATATTAGAAATTGCTAAGTTATGAAGACAGGTTGCAGAATATTTGATTTTCAAAGTCTCACTTTGAAAATTGAATTACACATCTTATACAATGTTGGAGAAGTAACTGAATAAATGTACTGGTGATATATATTCTTAATACTAATTTGGGATAACTGTATTCCGCTACAGTAAATTTTTCATGTGGTGGCATTCAGAATAAAGTTACCGTTTTAAAATCAAACATATTACAAATTTAGGCTTCACACTGTACAATATTAGTGTGTGAAAAATGCAAAACATTTCTCTGTCAGCATATATGTAAATTTTCCTTCCTTTAATTAGAGATAGGAAATGCAGAACAAACAGTAAAACAAATATAAAGCTATGTTTTTACATATGTCTTTACGCTATAATATATGCTCAACTCTGTGTAAAAATATTGAAAATACAGTAGTCTGATTGGACCATGAATCGGAATAATTACGAAATACATTTTAATGCAGGTATTCAATATTCTGTAACTTAATACCTTTTCAGAGCATTCTTCCGATTAGTGGTCTTATGTTCATTATTAATTGTCAGCTGATTAGCCCCTTGGTTGTCTGTCTCTGTTGAGCTCTAGTTACAAAAAAGAAAGTTAATAAAAACATTTTTTGTTTAAACTTTATGGTAAAAAATGCTATATGTTAAGAGTAAAAAACTGCTATGTTGTTGTGCCTACCCAAAACTTGAGTGCAGTGTGCAGTGTGATGTTTTTCCAGCACTCTAAGTAATTTAATTGGAAATAAATTTACTTTTGTAGTATTTTGTTCAGTATATTTAGTTATTCTCTCAATATTTGTATATGATCTCACAGTGAATGGCTTTGTATTTGCTATTGGCTACTATAGACAGTTATTATTAAGCCACTGGTGAATAAGATATAACCTAGTGGGCTATTGCAGTATCACAAAGGTGCACCTGTACAAACAGCTTAGTATAATTGCTTTAGCAGGCCGTCTTGCACGTTCAAATCTAATTTCCTCCTAAGCTACAGCACAACTAATCCAACAAACAAGACTTCCTGAAATGTTTGTGCCAATATGTGTCAGTCACAAGGAAACAGAGGAAATTGAGAAGAATTTTGTATTTATGCCACAGTCTATGACAAATACACTGGATGTACAAGTCTGCTTCTATAAAGGTCAAGATGCACTGAATTGATGGTTGGTAGCATGCGTTTTGTGAGAGAGAGGGATGGAGAGATGAAGTGGGTTTATGTGGAAATGCCAAGCCCCCAGCCCCATGTTTGATCTCAATCATAACACACGTTGATAGACTGAATGCACCGCTGCTGGTTTTAATAATAAATGTGAACATTGCATTATTTAAACACCTTGATTATTAATACTGAAGTGTGGATGGAGCCAAAGCCCCCCAGAGTATCACCTGCGCTGTTCACATGGGCAGGCTAATTACTGGTTTACACTGAACATGTGAGTCTGGTAAAACAAGCACCAGTGTGTAGCTATTTAGGCTTATGTAAACTGGCAGGTAGTTTAAATAAATACTGGGTCCTAAAAAAGAAAGATGCACTTGATTCCCTGGTTCCTCCTTTCATCAGTGATACCAGACAGATGGAAATACATTTGCACACTGTGGAAATGTCTAGTTAGTATTCATTTAGAAAATGCTTTATAAAGTGTTCAAATTATCAGATAAATGGTGGTAATCTTATTGAAGTACAAACTATTTAACTGAATAATGAATCCAGATCATAGACTCTCTGTAACTGCTGCTGCTACTCCTCATTTTGATCTTGCTCGTATTATCTCTCTCTACATGATCCTTTTGTTTTTATTTCAGTGTTTTTTTCTGTAAATCAATTCCAATTTCTAATGTGGAACTTGGCTCGCAATTCTTCCCTATAATGTCAAGCCTCGATGAGCCTCATTTGACTGGAGCTAGACACTATGGGTGATGTCACACTCACTTAGTCCACTTCTTTATGCGGTCTATGATCCAGATTCACTTAATGGAAATTTTGCTATGTGACTGAATTGACTGCTAAATAATGAAATAAAAAATAAATAACAATTTGTGCAGCTGTTCACTCTGACTTTTGAAGACTATAAAATGGTGCTAATTTGGAAAGTAAAGATATTCAAATGAGAGAAATTTCAAAATAAATGGTTTCAGAGGTAATTTAGAACTATCAACCCATAATGAGAAAGACTGTACAAAACTATTAAATTGCCATTCTCAACAAGAGCTATGTATTATGTTAATTGCTTATTTGATGATTTGTTTGCATATCTTAGGAACTCTATGTTATGTAATGTTATTCTAAACAATACAGAATCATTTGCTCTCATTTTATAAAAGTATAAGAGATCAAAAACAAAGACTGAAATAACATTTTGATTGCATCTTCTGGTTTATTGACTATGAATGACATCTATGAACCTATTTTTTATTTTTATATTTAACTTCCCACATATAATAAAGTATTCTTATCATCATGCTTCATTTTGAGATTTCGTAGCATAACTCAAAGATAACACCGGGAAAAGTGTCAAATGTAAAGTTTAATGTCATACTGTGGACTATTCAAGGCATAGCAACAACAACTCCATGGACACTCTAAGTAAATATTAAATAGCCAAGTTGAATAGCGTATTGTGGAAGGCAAAACAATCACATCCCCATGGAGAAAGGCAGGTGATCAGCCCTCTACCAGAAATGTTACACAATGCACCTTTCACGTCTCAGGCTACATTCTTGCCTTATCAACTGAATTACACCACCTGGGCACTTTTTCCTGTTATTAAACACCACTACAGCATGTCCCCTATGTGCAGACACTGAGTACTTTTTGATGCAATAGATACAAACTTGCTGCCTCTCTTGGGAACTTTACTATAGCCAATAATAAATAGGACCCAGACTGGGAGCATTTGGAGTTTGTGGTTTGTTTCACCGCTAACAAGCTGTCATTCACAGTCAAGGACCTGGTGCAAGTGGTACTCAAGGCTCTGCTGCATCAGGTACTTTATTTTTGTAGATATATTTTTCTTGCTTTTTCAGAGTCGCTACTTTGATCTCCGGCCTTTGATGATTTATGGCTCAGACTCTGTGTATATTTGTAATAGATTTTTATCAACTTTGCAAAGTTTAATATCCTTATCTCTTTTTGAACAAGAACAATTTATAAATGTTGTGCACGAAAACTTAAGGGGAACAGACCATGTAAAATTGATATTTTTACTAAGTTATAACTGTGTTGAAAATCCACTGCCTGCCACAATGTAATCCTAACTTCTACTTTATTTCCTACGCACTTTAAGAACAACACAGTTGACCAAGTGTAGTGCACAACAATAATTATAAAAGATAATAAAATAGACACAGATTGCAAAAACATAGATGCATAAAAACACACCAGACACTAAAAAGTCAACAATAATCACAGTGAAACGTTGATGTGAACATGTGAATTTTAAGAGCTGATTTAAAAGCTGAAAGCAACTCAGTCTGTCTAAGGTGCAGGCGCAGAGCATTTCAGAGTTTTGGACCCACAACAGAGAAGCCGTAGTCTCCTCTAAGTTTTCTCTTTTGGGACCACTAGCAAAGAATGAACTGTCAACCTGAGTGAGCGAGCAGGGGAATAGGGCTGAAGCAGGTTGGACACATAGTGTGGGGCAAGGCCATGGAGGCATTTAAAAAAACAAATAAAAGGATTTTAAAATCAATACGATAAGACACAGCGAGCCAGTGCAAGGATATTAAAGTGGGTGTGATGTGGTCTTGTCTCTTTGTGCCAGTCAAGAGGCACATGTTATAGATTAATACTAAATATCCAAAAAACTGCATAATACGTTTACTTTAATAAGATTAATGCCTCTTGTCTCCACAGGTAAAGGAGACCTGATCGGCTCGGACTCTCTCACTAAAGAACAAGTGATAAAAACCAACGCCAACGTGAAGGCTTTGACCTACTGTGACCTGCAGTACATCAGCCTGAAGGGCCTGAGGGAGGTACTGCGTCTGTATCCAGAATACGCCCAAAAGTTTATCAGCGAGATTCAACACGACCTCACCTACAACCTGAGAGAGGGCCACGGAGCAGACGTGAGTGTTATGTAATGCAGAAATGGCGCATGAATTGGCTTTGTGTGGCTTTATGTTGGTCATGAGTCATTCAGATGTTGGATGGATGAATAAAGTGGAAAATGATTGAAATATCTGAGCTAACTAACCAGTTTTTATAGTACTGGGGAATACTATTATGTTTTTTATTTGCTGTGCTATACTGTTTTCGGCAGTGTTCTCAGAATGATTTAAGTCAGGAAAAAGAAAAATTCAACAAATGTAATTTAAAGGTGCTCTAAGTAACTTTGTTGGTGGAAGACCCGCCACCTGCTTTTGAAATATTATATTTATATTTTTGAGCAATAAAATCACCTGTAATTGATCACAACAGATGGAAATGCTTTTGAGGCTGGTTGCACACCCATCATAAGTAAATACTGTTTTATTATTTTCCATAAAGCTGGAAATATATTTGTTTTTCCTCCCCTCAGTTCTAATTACACACACTAGCAACCACCTTTGACCGTGATGCACTGAGTACATACTGAGTCATATTTGCCTAAGTGAACCCGATTCATGCAGTTGTTGTCATTCATTTATTTTATGTGGTTCAACACAAATTGTAAGGTAAAAACACAGTAAAAAATCAAATATGTTATTACAGAAATAGTTTGCATTTGCCTTCTGAAATTTGAGAAAGGCATCAATAAATAATAATACCACGGCTCATGTTTGTCTGTGTATCACATCTCATTCACTGTGTAAATACATTCTGCTGCTGTCAAAAGTGCAGCCTTGAAAACGTACATTTGTAAAACACATTTGTAATTCAATCGAGTATATGCCTCGAATCTGCACCCTGAAGGCTCTCTCACCTCAAACAAGGTCATGTACAAAAAGGCTATTCACGGCCCCATTCACACTGGTTTTAAATATAGACTGCTGTACATTTCATATTCCAAAACTCACCCTCTGCCTGTGCCTCGGCTGGTGCGGCACGAGACAGAGCGAAAACACAGAGACCAGAATAGCTTAGTGCTGCTGTTTGAAGCTGTTCTGTTACTAAAAATAGTGCGAGGGGGATGCACGGGCTCTCCCTGACTGGCTGTCCCCTCACTGCTGCTGCTAAGATTGGATCCTGCTGGATATAAATAACCCAGCCAGTCGAGGAGAACAGTAGGCGAGGGAGGGGGAGGGAGAAGGAAGAGTACAGGAGGGAGGGGGCTGTCTCATTTTCTTCTCCTCAATCCCTCCTTCTCCACTGCAGTGCTGTGCGTTCCTCCGGGGCAGAGTACACTTACTGCAGAGAGAGTGGTCTTGGACATGTGTGCATATGAAAAATACACACAAATATACACTCTCTTTCTAGAAGATTCCCCATTCCAAATGCACAGCTGTCTGTATCTTTTGCTTTTGGTTGTCCGTTCTGTTTATACATGCACTGCCCTCCTGGTAGCAGCAGTCGGTTGGGAGTGCTCTTGAATATTTATGGTCAACAAAAATGAACAGTAGACTGACCACATTCTATGCTCAATAAGCCTGTTAAACCATAATAATATCTGTATCCTTTTCTTTCATCATATTTTCTGAAAGCTTCGTCAGATTGCATGTAGTAATTAGCATAATAAAGCATAGTTTTAATTCATTATATACTTTGATTCAACCCATTCTTGTCCAAACCACAGGTGCCAGACAGACAGAACACTGGCTTATGGCCCTTTGTGACAGGAACACATTTATGATTCAGTGATTTGCATACTGATTTACATACTTACAAAGTTGCAGATGTTTTATGCCAGATGTCTATTTTGACGAAGCCCTCTTGGGTTCACTCGTCTTGGGTTTAGTCCTGATGAAAATGCAGTTTGGTTCTAGTTCTTTTCTAGTATTGGTTTAGTCCTGGTTTAGTCTAAGTATAATTTTGAGACTTGTCACAGTTTTAATTTATATATTTTTAAATTAACTAATAATTAACTAAAAAATAACAGGGTAAACAATATTTGAGCGGTAAATACAAAATCATTTACAATAAGACAACAGAGACAACGAACACAACAGACACATTGAGGTGAGATGAGGTAGGGAGGGTGCAGCATACAATGTGAGAGCAAAACAATTGATTCTTTGTAGTTAAATTAATGCAGCTCAAAGTAATGCATGTGTTAAGTCCTTGAATAAGGCAATGAAACAAGCTATTCATTTTAGTTGAACAAATGATTGTGTGTTTTTGTTGTTATTTCTGCAGACTGACTGTTATGACTCCTGAGCCTTGAGGGAAACAAAAGAAACTGGTTGACTAAGCTCACTCTAAAACCGAAGCATATTTTGTTTCTAAAATCGTGCTCAAGATAATCTTCAAATAAGAACATTTTCGCTGCACTCTTCATCCCTGTATCTTTTTGCATTAAGAATAATATAATGAAAGTCCCCACATTTCACACAAGCCTCAGAAACTTGCATGAGGACCATACTTAAGATTCTGCTGCCAGCCCATGCAGCATTCAAACATACAGTCACACGTTCTCAGACACAGCCTATCTATCACACCCCCGCATAGCACAGCGCTCCTTGTTTTTTTCTCAAGAGCACTGAGCTAAGATTAGAAACAAGAGAGCTAAAAATAAATTACACCAGCACGAGATGGGGGAGTTAGAGAGAAGGACGGGAGGATGGGGGGAATGCTGAGCAGGCACAGACGCTTGATTAAAGGGTTAGGGGGGATACGCAGTGGGAAATTGTCTGGAAAATAAATGGAGAAAAAACATGGGGCGTTGGTGTCTCTGCATGATCAGATATGACTAACTGTTAATGCTGCATAAGACAGTGCTGCTGGGGACTTTATTATGAGTGAATAATTGCACGTCATAATGAGGGAATGTAGTGTGAGCTTTGTGTCAGTTTCAAGCTCTGATAAATGAGGGTTCCAGTAAGAAAGGTTTTGACAGACTTGGTTAAATTGATATGAAAATTACCACTCACAACAGGAGATGCCTTGCTATGGCAACCCTAGTAGAAAAATGTGAAAAATATTGGTTTTAGACATAGACCTAGACAAACTTTATTGATCCATAAGATAAATTACTTCAAAGAAAATTTATATAATTAATGGTGAATGTAAATTGCATCTATACAGTTGAAATGATGAATTAGACTCAAGGAAATGGTATAAAAACACATCCACTTGAAACAAGCCATCAGGTTTGCTGCAACAACAAAAACACAAAGAGATGATGGCAACAGTGTGTCGACTGCCATCATTCACATACGTCCCATGTGTTTAGCTATTTTAAAGAAAATTATTATTATTTAATTTATGTTATTATTATCTGTTATATTATTTTAAAAAATGTCTTATCTTTTGTCCACAATCAGATGTGGTCTGTCTCTTTGAAGCTGTCAGATTGTTAAAATGTTCCACTGCAACTTATGAACATTGTACAATTTTGTAAAAGAAAATAAATAAATAAATAAAACTAACAAATAATGATAAAATAAGATAAGTGTTTAAATGCTTTGTTTACAACCAGAACAGGTGATGTAAGTACTATTTGGTCTTAGATTGCCATCTACTGGTGAGAGTAGGATCTTGCTATTTGCTACCATAAAATGCTGCTGTTGCTCTTTTAGAAATCGATCCCTTTCTTTTCTTTCAACAGGTTCTTAAAGATTGTTTCTGTTTGCAACAAATATATCTGTTTTATTTTGAAGTAAAATAATACTTTTTGTATGTATGCAGGGAGACTGGGAGAGTAATGGTGGTCTTGTGAAGAAGTTACCTTCCATAAAGGAGGATGAGGAGGGTGATGAGGAGCAGAACTTGGTGTCCCGGGCCCCTCGCTCTCCTCTGCGTCTGAACAGGGGTCTGAACTCTCCTCTGCGCTCCCCCCTCCTTCCCCCGCGGCCCTTCCGCTCGCCATCTGATCACTCGCGCCCCAGCACTCTGCAGATCCCTGTGGTCAGCTTCAACAGTGCGCCTCCAGAGCTCAGCCCCAGGTAACGGAACTGCACTCGGGCAAATGAGGAATACAAGTGTAAAGGCTGATACCAATACATTTAAAAAAAATAATTATATAATAATATTATAAAAATAAAATTTCCAACAAATGTTTTGTAAAGAAAGGCTGAAACTTAGCAATTTCATGTGTGTTAAAAAATGTAAATATTTAGAATAGTGATTACATGTACAATGGATCATTAAGGGAAGGGGTGCTAGAACTGAATTTAAGTAACATTAGCTTTTATAAACACTTAAATATTGTACTTGTTAAATGGTTCCTACCTGATTAAGTCCAATGTTATGCAATAGCATTCATACATTGTACTTAGGTGGGTGGGTAGGTGTGCTAACTTTTCTGGTTGGAGCGCCACCATTAGCTAGTCTCCATAGAGATGCTTTGCCTGAAATGTTTCACAGTATGGTATTAAATTTATGTAATTTGCATTTATTTTTACTGCTGTTTTTATCCCTTAAATACTTTGATAAACATGCATTCTTACTGTGCGTGGGCTTCCCTCTGTGCAGATCTGATCTGTAACTTGTATCTGGGGGCATTACCTGCTTGTCTCCATGGAGATAGATGTTTAATGCCATATTGGGCAAGACGGAGACAAGCAGGTTGCCTCCCTCCACCAGAAAGGTTTCATAGTGCACCTTTAATTTTGTGAATTAAATTAGCAGTGGTGTCTCAGTTCTTTCTCCAGAACAATAAAGGACAGTAGAGTAGTGCTGGTCTCTCTGAGGTCAGTATCAACACGACTGACTGCGGCTTGCGCTGCAGCTGTCCGTGCTGTTGGTTGGTTTCCATGGCAACTGGATTACATGGGATTACAATCTTTAAGGATGTATATCTTTTCTCACCATGGGATGTTGTTGTATGTGACAAGAAAATATGTGTACACAACCAGTATTGCTGGGTAAATTGCCACGAGATAAAAGAGGGGTTTTAATTTGAGATTTTTCTGCATCCTGGACACATACTGTAATTACTCCCTCAGCCTTTTATCATTCGCTGATCTGATTTGCATTCCTCTCTCGTCACTTTTCCTTCTTTAATCCTGTTTTCTGCATAGATTCGTGGATGGCATTGAAACTGAGAGCATCTCCAACTTGTCCCAGAAGTTTGAGTTCAGTCCAAGTCTGTCTCCCGCTGCCTCATCTCCATATCCAGGTACAACATAATAACATACAAGCTCAGTTGTCTAGTGTCACCGTGTTAGAGCAATATTTTTTAAAACTAATATTTTTAGGTATGAAAGAGCACGCTGACATCAAGCAGAGTGTCTCCAAACTGACTGAGGAAGTAAGTACAAGTTATAATATAAAATTGCTTGAAAAGATATATTATTAGGTTTTAAATTGTTCATTTTTATGGCAACTGTGCACATTTTTCATCATTTTGAAACCCATCTTTGTCTTTCATGTTCTTACAGATGAACAGTCTGTCCAAACAAGTGTCCCAGCTCAGTCATGAGTTACAGGAGATGACCCGCCTCCTGAAGCCCCTCCTCCAGGCCTCCCCTTCGCCTCTCCTGACGACAGCCATGGCAAATCTAACCCCGCCCCCCAGCAGTGCAAGCCAGCAGCCCCCCAGCGCCTGTCTGGTTGTCCCTTCCTCCCTCACCCCCCTCACACCTTGCTCCCCACAGAGACTGGACTCTAAATCCTTATTGGACAGTACAGTGACGGAGGAGGTAGACCTGCTAGGATGCCTTCTCCCCACACCCCATTCACCTCAGAACCCCAAATCTTTAACATCATCACCGCTTCTGCCATCCAAATCCAACGGGGGTAACTTTAAGACTGACAATGAACTCATCCAGAACCTCCAAGTTTCATCCAATAACGGAATCATCGTCCCATCCCACCAGGACCCCCCGCACACTCCTTCCCCCTCTCTGTCCTTCTCTATGTCTCTCTCTTCATCGCCGTCGCTGTCCCCCTGCCAGGGCCCACACCCGTCCCGTCCCAGCAGCTGTAATACCAGAAACCACTTACAACAACCACAACCGCACCATCCGCCCCTGTCCTCCCACTGCTCAGCTCCCCCCTCTCTCACCTCATCACCAGGGGACCGCCGATTAAAGCAGTCACCCTCTGCGCCCATCATACCTCACTCTTTCTCCCCCTGTCCATCCACACTGTCCCTGCCGCTTTCTTTGGACTCCAGGACGAGGTATGGAGACACCTCACAGACTGCATTTTGGTGTAACTCTCGGCAACATCAAGCGGAGGGGAGACCAGCAGGTGGTCCTCAAGATCTGGAGATGCAGGAGAGAGGACTTATAGACACTAAGCAGTCCTCTACAGAGCACATAAGCTTCATTGATGAGGAATAGTGCTCTTAATCTGAGTAGCAGAGACAAGCTCAGCAAAAATGAAGGATGCATTTCATACAAGGGGGTGTCCAGAAAGTGATTATAATGATATTATAAACTTTTACTTGAGAAGATTGAGATACTAATATGTGTTAGACAATGCAGTACATGTAAAACACTTGAGGGTGGATTGTGTAACTTTTATGTTGGGGGGGTCCTTCAAATGCTTTTCTCCTTGGAGACATTATTTCTTGGTCTGGAATGTTTCATAATATGGCATTAAACCTTTCTATATTACGATATTTATTGCAATATCGTGGGAAAGCTCACGATTTGGTGGTAAGGGTCACGATTAGGAATGTAACAATATCCAAATCTCTCGGTACGATATTTTCACAATATACATCTCACGGTATATTGCAATATTTTGTGGAGGTGAACAAAACTGTTAATATGCTACTTTTTCCTTTTAAAATGCCTTGACAAGACTTAATCAAAATAACTAAGACTTAAAAGTGCTTTTAACTGCTATTTCTTCTTGTAGTCTACTCTGAAATGGAGCAAAGGCTCATGATCTATGTAGTTCCCTCTGTCTTTTTTAGCTATTGCTGCACCATAACTCTTGAAGACTTGTAATTTGATATATTGTGATGGTCCACAATATTACTGTGAGAACTTTGGTGATACTATATCATGATATTTCAGTTATTGTTACATCCCTATTTTTCAAGGTATTTTTGAGCCACCTGTAATTGAGTAAATGTAAGGTAGAGCTATTTAATGTCATACAGTGGAACATTTTAGGCAGATGACATATCCATTGAAACAAGCAAGTGACAGACCCCAAACCAAAAAGTTGCATAAGACACCTTTAAGTACAAATGCTGAATGTGGATTACTTGTTTAGTGGTGATAATGTCCAAATCAGATTTCCTCTCAGAACACAACCAGATGGACTCAAGGCATTATCTATGTCCAGTTGATTCTTTGAAAAATAGAAAACTGGCATTCACTGAGCACAAACTTTGAAAGAGACTGTGAGCTAAATGTAAAGGTTTTGAATAAGATATGTCATTGTTTTAGCTTTCTGGACATGCCCTGTGTTGTAGTATGGCAAAAAAGCTACAATCCATTTTTAAAGGAAGTCATAGAGCAGGTTTGTGCAGAGGAAATCTCCACCTGAGCCTGCACTGACCAGCCACAGGACTAAATACAGCACAACACCGTGTCCACACTTTTAGCTAACAAGGAGATGACCTCTCCAAACCCTCCTCAGCTATCACAAATGCTCTCAATGCCTCTCTTCTAAAAGGGCAAGTATTAATACACATATCTCAAGTACAATATACCAAGCAACAGTGCTGGGACTGGAATGTAACTTTTGTATTCAAGGTCACACACTTTATTTTGCTTCATTAGTGAAATTATAGAACACTGATCAGAAATAACATTATGGGCACTGAGAGGTGAAGGGACAGGAACATATCATCTTCTCATTTTGGAAACTGTTTGAGAGATGTGTGATGATGTAGAAGCAATTGTTTTTGACATTAAAAACTGGTATGGAAGCATTTAAGTGAGTTTTACAAATTATGGATCAAAGCATATCTAAGGACGCATTCTAGGAACTAATCTGGGCTAGAAGACTAAATTACAAATAGAACAGGACCAAACCATGTCTACATCTGGACTAAACTGGGCTCAAAAAAGAACCAGTGAAGTGAAGTGCAGTGAATGCATTATAAACTAAAGCAAAACTAATTTTGCTGGTGGGCATAATCCTAAAACTGGTCAGTGTCCTTTGAATTAGAATATTCAAACTACATTTGGTAAATCAGCTTAATATCATATCCTTGCCAATTAAGTATAGAAAAGTAACACAACTAGGTAAATATTGATAAAAAAAATTTCAAAGGCCCAGTCTAGCAGGTTGTGTACCAAAGACAAAAGAAAATTAGGCAATCATTTAGACAAATCATAATACATTAAATGCACCCGTGACCCATAACTGTTTACAACCAGCCAACCAGATTGTACAGCAAACTCCCACTTCACTTGAGCTTTAGCCATCCAACCATTCGTGCCTTCTCCATATTAACTCCCCTATAGGCCATTCTTCTACAGGTATTTGGAACTAAACTGAAAAGCCATTACCAACAAACAACGTGCACCTTCAACTAAAATATCATTGTGCATTATATTTCTACGCAAGATTACTTTCTTATTCATTCACCACAAACTGGATTTTAATGTGTAGCCTTCCCAATTCAAATGTAGCACACATGTATTTATTGACTGTCACTCAACATAGTCATCAACAACCCCACTGCCAATTATAACACCACTATGGAGGTCTTTTAGGACTTTCATACATTGTTTTGCTGGTGAGATGCTGCATAGTGCAACAGAAGCTCCACCAGATGCTTGTAACATAGGACTGTCAGATTTCTGGTTTCTATTTTCAATAATAAGAAGTACCAAAATCTATTGCAGCTCTGTGCAGTGGTAATCCATATGGGAAAATAAAGGTGGGAGGGTATGAAATACACAAAGGGTTTTTTTAATTAAATGCATGTCACTGAAATGTCTTGCATGAGGAACGTGCCTGCTGTAACTATGTCAGGGGTTGGAGAAAAATGGGAGGGTATGAACTTCCCTGTTGCGAAGATTGAGATGTATTTTATTATTACAGACTGCTGTTACATGAAACTTTACCAGGATTACCTACTGTGCAAAAATAAAGTGTTGTTTTTTAAGATTTCTGACTTACCATTTGTTTATTTTTAAGCTTGGTTAAATAAACACATACACAATTAATTTCCTGTAATAAAAGTGTAAAATTTTCTTGTACTGTTACTTTTTTCATTAATGTGTTAATACATTTTAGTATCACATACTAACACAATTATTTTATAACTTTATATCCATTATTTGCACTGTGTAACTTCTAGAGGGTGCATCCCATCTGTAGTATACCATTAAACATATTTATCTACAATTTAAGTTTCCTCAAAAAGTCTTGGAAAAAATTTCTTTTGGTGAGCTGGTCTGCCTATCTGACCTGTAATGTGGTGTGGTGGCAGCATGCTTGTTGCCATGATATAGACGAGCTTAATGCTGTACAGTGGGACATTCTAGGCAAAGAAAAACATTGTATTGTATTTCTCCTGGCAGCTCTGAATGGTGGGTCAAATACATGGGACCATTTTCCATATGTAGACAATGAGGTGTGCCAACCATAAATAAGACTCAACACAAACACATCCACCTTCATATCTGCATATATTTCTCATGACATTCATTCTATCGGAGCTAAATAAAGGTTTGAAATGTTAACATCACAAGAGTGTGGAAAAAGGAAAACAATAACAGAAGCATGAAATACAATGTGTCTTTATTCCATTGCGCTCAACGAACTTGGGGCATTTACCTGCTTAGATATGACACTTAACTTTTAGCATCTTATCTTTTACACATAATAAAAGCAACCTCTGGAGCTTAGCCATTTTCACTTATCCCTTTAGAAAAGATCACAAAGAAGGTGCAGAGGTGATTAGAAAGATTGCATTCAAAGATTGATTCCTATTTCCTTCATAATGTATACTGATGGGTATTTGTGATTAGGCAGTTTGAGTCGCACTATTATCAGGGTACTATTGAGAGCAAAAGACCGAAAAGTAGTGACAAGCCCCAGTGTATGCACAACAGGGTCGGACTGGGAACAAAATTTGGGCCCAAATGTGGTCTGAGGTGGAGCGTCCTACCAGGCCTACTACAGATTACCAGTCCGAGCCTGATGCAGAAACACAACAGCAGAAAAGAAGAAAGGAATTCAGTATCTAATGTCTGTAGTGTAGTATAGACAATGTCCAAATGTAGAATTGCATCAGAGCACTCAACTTATGTGTCGAGAATTAGGGTACAACAGAATAAATGACAAAAGAGGGCCGGGGGAAAATAAAATTCCAAAAAATATATATTTATATTTATATACATATATATATTTACGAGGTATGTATCCACAAAGAAAAACACCCACATTTTCAAAATAGGCAGTCTGTCTGTACAGATGTCCTTAATTTTGACACCATAAGGAAAAATATTTATCTTAGTTAACAATTAAGTTAAAAAAGTGGGAGGAGTGAAAGTCCATCAATAAGCCCAGCTCTTACTTCAAACTTTAAAGTTCAAATGTTTTGAGTCCTGAGTCTCCTCTGAGGGTAGGCCAAAAGTGCCCAGACCAACTGCTGACTGGCTACTGCACTCTACGCAAAACTTCAAAAGTCCCAATAAAGTTCACTTCATCATTGAACAAAAACAATGCATCGATGTTCAATGAACTTGGTCAAAGTGGAGATTTGAGGGTGGGCTGAGGTGGTAGTGTCCGGTTGTTGTGAGTGAATTAAAGGGAGGCCAGCCACACTTAAAAATGGTTGATATTGTGCAACAAAACCAAGCTCCAAATCAAACTAGAAACTAAAGCAACCAAAGGTGTCCTCCAAACAAACGTTAGCCTGGTAGTAGTTGTCCCTCCACAGTAGTCATGCCAGATACTGCTGCATAGCAGTCTTTGCCCTGTAAAACAGTTTGTCATAATAGTAATATGTTTTACCACTATACACAATGTAACTGGGTAACTACCTGTCACTGAGGTTGGAATCAGAGGACTGTGTGAGTTTGTGCAGGATGTCCACAAAGCCCATTTCTCTCAGCTTGTCCTGGCGCTCCTGAGAACCTGTGTGGATCATGGTACAAAGGTCACAGACTGTGATTGTCATACATGAGTGATTTGTTTACATAGATTATTCCCACACCACAGTACTCACCATCTTCTTCATTCCAGATTAAGTTGGAGACACAAAAAGTGGCAGCAATCTGCAGCTTCACATTTGAATGCCCCTGAAGTGATAAAAGGTGTGAATACAGATGAAATTCAAACAAGATTATCTGAGTTGAAGATAAATAATTGTATACTGCACCATGTAGTATTTCACTTTCTGGAGCATGTCATCATTAGTCATGATGAGTTCCTTGGCTGTGTTGCCGTCCCCAATGTTAGCTAGAATACACAGTGTCTATGACAAAGGGAAAGTATTATGTTCATGTATATGCTTTCCATATTACAGAATTCAGCACTTTTTATTAATAATTATTAATTAAAATGAAGCATATGCTCACCTGTTCTTTGACCTCAATGCTATGCTCAGCCTCCAGAATCAGGGTCACTGCCTGCATGATCTGCTTTCCGTGGGAACTCATGATTTGGTCTATGTGCTGAGGAAAGAAAGAAAATAGGAGGTATGGATGAAAAATGTACAACATTTTGAACTTTGTCTGGTCTGGATATCCATTTGCACAGGTCTTACAGCACGTGTTGACAGCAGATTACGTAGCAAACCAAGCGTCTTCATTAACACATTAGTGTCAGGGTCAGACAGCAGACGGAACAATTGTTCTGTGCCTAGACACCGAACAATCTCCATTTTGACCTTCTGATCTGCCTGGAAAGCCATGTTCTGTAAACAAAAGATGGGCCATAAAAACAGTGGACTTCATATTCTTTACACTTATAAACCAAGAAGGAGAAAATATGAATTGACAGTAACCTTTAATTGAAGCACTGAACGAATAAAAAATCTTACCATCAGTGCCCAGATCCCATTGACTCTCAGTGCAGGGCTGTCGCTCTGAGTCAAACTGCATAGTAATTCTATTACCCCTGATTCCAGGATTGGCTGATGAGACAGACAGCACGAATTAAAGTAACTGAGATTATCAAGAATGTTATAGTTATATGGATCTGTGCGGTCACCTCTTTGCTGGGGGAAAACTCCAGCAGTAGGTTGCATAGTGTAGATGAGGCCATAACCAAAACTTCATCTGGAGCATTCTGCAATAACTAGACAAACAAACATACATATATAATCAAAGAAAATATGATTTATTTTAGTTTTGAGCTATTTTTGATTTATTCAATAAATATGATTTAGGCCCTATCCCAGTTCTACCCCTTAGCCCTTTGGCGTAGCCCTTCCCCTGCATCTTGCCGGTTCACGAGACAACAGTGTTTCCCAATTCTCTTTAGCAGCAAGGGGTAGGAGTAAGTAAGGCTGTATACACCTTCAAATGAAGTACATTCAGATGTACACTTCAAATGAAGGGACAGGAGGATTTTGATGGCGAAATCTCTCTCCCGGCTATTGAGCTGCAGAAAGCGGCGGTAACATTTCACTGCATGGTCTTGTCTAGTCATTTAACTCCTTTAAACAAATTAAAGTAAACTATAACTACAGCATCAGTCTGTCCAAGTTCACAAGCATCATCAATACAGTAGCCTAATCATTAGTGTGTGTTCTCACTGAACTCGAAAAATGTCACATCGTGGGAATACAATATCTCATAGGCCAAATTATTATTAATACATGATTTCACCTAAACATAGTCCCAATAATATATAGGCCTATATAATATAATTGTATAGCCTAAAGGTATAATCATGTAATATAATATAGCCTAAGGTGTAATATTTGACTCTAAAATAATTAGGCCAATATTATAATCACAAAACCCTAATTAATTGGCCATAATCATAAATGACACCATACAGCTCTTGGCTTGTTGCAAATAGAAAAATAAGCAGTGGCAAAACAAGGGATGTTGCATAAATAAGTGCTGGCTTTATAGCCCTTCCCCTTAGTCCTCATTTGAAGGGCTAAGAGAATTGGGATTGAGCCTTACTAACCTTCATAAGAGGTTTCCACACAGCATGGTCATGGAAACTCGTTCTGAGCTGTTGTACTGAACGAGACAGACTGTGAAGACACCTAATGAAGGGTGGTGAGGAACAATTTGTAAGTAGAAGTATAGTAGCACTTGAAGGATTGGGTGTTCATGCATAGTTTTTGAATTTTCAATATCGATTACCTGACTGCAGCCAGGCGAACCTTGATGCTAGATTCTGATAGGCCACTAACAATCCTGTCCATCATATTCTCCGTTTCAGTTATCTGTAATGAGAAGGTACGGTTATTATAACAAATAAAATATAGTCTTCTGATTACTTTTACCAATAAAAGGACAAACAAATGTCACCTTTTTACGGATATCTTCGTCATTGGAGCCCAATGAGGCATAAAGTTTGAAAGCAGCCTGTCTGAGCTCATGTGCATGTTTTAGGTCATGGTCAAGCTGAAAAATAAATAACTATTTTGACTCGTCAAGTGCACACCAGTTCTTACAAGTAACACAAGAACGCACACAAACACAACACAGACACACAGACATAGACACAGACATAGACACACTTTCATAATTTATTAATGTAAAACTTGATAGTTATAGTTTGATTCTAATGGTTAATTAATTACCCGTTTGATGTCTGTTATAGCAGATACAGAGCTGGGGTACTTGAAGTAGTCAGCCAACATAGTGACCAGGTGGTCTGTTGTGCTAGCAATCCTCTGTAGCTCCACATCAGGCTCCATCAGATAGGCTAGCGTCTCTGCACCCTCTACCCTCTCCTCCAGCAGGTGTTCTTTACTGCACATTCGAACCAGGCATGGCAACGTCTGAAAAATGTACACCACAGATGTTCATATAGCAAAACAAGATGTGATTATTCAATTGCTTTGTAAAGTATCTTGAAACAGAGGATTTACCTTTAAAACTATACAACTGTCATCAGTCCTTATGGCACCCGCTCGACACATGTATGTTAAACTGAAAACACAGACTGAAAATTAGGAAAAAAAATATACACTGATACACAGTATATTATACACAACTTTGCAACTCACCATTTGGCTGCTGTTAGCTGCATTTCAATGGGTTGATCCCTTTGCATCATTTTGACAAATACCTGAGAAAGCACCTCACCATCCACCAGCACTGATCACAAAGAGTTTGTAAATATTACTCCTACTATAATGTATAAAAGTTCAAAATTATATAATACTTACCATTCACTAGTGTCAAGGAGACTTGAGTGTTCTCATAAGCTAGGACTGAGAAACACTTTAGTGCCTGCATCCGAACCTGTACAAAGTGGAAACATGTGTAATCGACAGTATAATGAATGAATGAATAAAATAATTTTTGTTTGGTTTACTTTGTATGAAGGAGATATAAGTAACGGAGCAATGTTTTGAATGGCACCGTGAAATAGAACAGTTTGGTGCTCTGGAGTCTAGAAAAAAAAACAAGGAATTCTGGTTTTATCAGAAGTTATTAGAACATACATTCTGTGAATATGAAATATGCCGATATTACCTTACAACAGTGGGAGAAAATCTGGGTGATGTACTCTTGTGTCCTCTCTGAACGACTAAGTAGGGACATTAAATGAGGAATCACAGTGGGGTCCTAAGAAAACAGTAAAAGGAAAAGTGAACTATTGAATATAATAGATTTGATTTGTTTTGTGAAAGCACATAATTATTGTTATTATTACGACTTAATAAATACAGAAATAGTGAACAGTGTAAAGCATACAGTATAAAGAAGCTGCACCGGTGTCACCGGACTTATGAAAACTGTTCTGAGACATCGAAGACAGGCTTCAATGAAAATAAGGTCCGGACACAACAAGCCTTTAAAAAGATCACACAAAACACCACCTTACAAATGTTTCCAATGAAAAAAATAATACATGTTGTTGTATAAGGACTCACCTTGAAGAAGAGCAGGGATAATATGACAGTCCACTAGAGACTTGATGTTGTTTTCTGTGCCCATGGCTAGACTGCCTAACACTATAGCACATTCTGTTCGCAGCTCCAAACTAGATGAGCTCTGTTGTAGTAGATAAAGTAACCTGTAAAAGAAAAACACCACATTTTAAGCTACTTGCTACTTAAGCTAAAATGCTACTTGAGATTTTAGTATAGCAATTACTAGTCTGTCACTAGGGTGTGATGGCCAGTCTCACCCAGAGATCAAAATATAAGACAAATGAAGTGAAAGAGAAGACTTGCAATATGTGACATACCTTGGTACAGCTCCAAGGACAATGAGATTTGCTTTTTGTTTATTGTTTCCAATGACAGCATTTTTCATGTCACTGTAAAACAAAAAACTCAGTGTAAAGTCATCATGTTAAATGTCCATCAATAACACAAATTGAATAAAGCATTTTATAAGGACAGTCTAACAAGCAGCATGTTTTAAAACAAGTATTTGTTTACATTTTTATCAGAATATGTATCAGCAACAATGACCCAATTCATCAAGTTGTTAACCATGCCATGTATAACCCGGTCAGCATAGCAGTGTAAAATAGACACAGGAGACTTGCATCACATGCTTGCTACGGATCTGTACACATGATATCATATGTTTGTTTATAATGTGCAACTTTTCCTGCCATGTGGTTTCTACGCCCCCTAAGCACCCCACAAGATATCAAATGACAGGTGAGAGACTGCAGTGGAAAAATACAGCTGTAGCAGGCAGTCAAATAAAGTTGGCACAGAGCTAGTGAAGAGGCCACTAAAATGGGTGATGGTTAAAAATAAAGCCGTCTGGGTACAGGTGAGGTTACCAAAGTCAGAGTGAGTTTTTGGTGAATTCCATTAAAAGATGAGGAACAAATAAATTATATAAACTACCAACACATGACTTTAGACAGACAATGTATTTAAATAATGTCGTACACTTTATCTCACCCTTTATATATTAAATATAAAGCAAAAATGAAATAGAACAAGCAGATTCCAATAAATGAGAATCCCAATGGTAGTAAATAATACTTACATGACCCCTTGCAGTACTTTCTGTGGATCAGGATCAAATAGCCGATCAACATAGTGCCGACTAGTGGCAGTGACTTCCTGTTTGGAGAAACAAACAAACAAACAAACAAACATGTAAATAAGCTGTATTTTCCCCATTAGGTAAAGAAATTATATCTGATGACAAATATAAAATCAGTAGAGTAAGTTATGCCACTGATTGACTAATACCTCAGAGGGACTTGAAGACACTGAATCAAACATATCTCTGCCAAATTAAAGGGGTACTGAGCAACTACATAAGCCCATGCCTAGAGGCTACATGTGATACCAGTATATAGTTCATAAATGGCTTTAACCAGAACGTTCCATAAGACTCAGAAGAACGCCCAGACAGACCACTGCTCCTCATGTTCTCACCCAGCTGACAGCAACACCACTGCTGACATGATGTATGCAGTGTGCCACTGGAAATGAATGGCTTCACCAGCTGAACTGAAACTATTTACTACAGTATTAACTACAAGATCTATAACATCTAAAGTAGCGTGCAATAAACCCCTGGGGACATTGCTTTTGCATGTCAGATTTTACGCTGCATGCAGATAAATAAAACTGACATTGTTAATTATACAATAATGTGTTTAATGTAGCTTAAATTAAGGATAGCCTTTTTCTGCAAAGTTCACCGTTGTTAAAATGAGCGACCCATCAGTAAATCTGAGCGAAAAGACCGCTGTTGTTTGTTTGACACGTTTAAGTAATCTTGAGGTGACAGCCTTTATAACTCCATAAAAGGTGACACAACATTCAATTAGCATTTAGCTGCTAACTCTTCAGTCTGAATATGACAGCTACGTTAGTTTGGATTTACTTCCTGCCAACAACACTGCTCAAATGACAACGCAACGAGCACAAGTCTTTTTATTAACCTGAACTTGTGTCCGCCCGCCCGGCACAGCTCAGAGATTAAACCGCTCCCACCAAAAGGAGCAGAGGTACACCGCTACAGCGCTGCATGGCTGCAACTTAGCACGCCGGCTAACAGAGTGAATAAAATCATGTCCACTTCATTACAGTTATGCATTTGTCAAACCTTAAAAATCAAGAAAGGACTGTCTCTCTACCGGCTAATTTACGAATTTTGATTTTCCTTAAAACTATAACAGTGGGACTCACAGATAGCACACTGATGCGGAGAGGGGCCTCCAACAAGCACGCCATCTCTCTTCCCCCGATCAAGCGCCCCAATCGGCGCAGCACTTCGCAGACACTCCGCCCCCAGAGCGACTGTAAGTGGCTTTTAAAAAGTAAAAGCGACCCAAACTAAACACTCACAGCCATTTAACGTTTTGGATAAAGAATATCACAACATAAGGTTCTACTTATGATTACAAATATTATTTAAATCAGAATCAAAGGCGCTAACTTGCGTGATCGCTGATTTGGTAAATAAACGTGTCGACGATTCACTTAAATCGTTCGTTAGATTCAACGCACAACCTGCACAATTATAAACCTTCTTTTATTAAATTGTAAATATCATGAAGGTGTACATAAAATATTTTTAAAAGCAATATAATGCATATCTTATTAGATTCATTAAAATTACATTTGTTTTAAATTTAATTTTGTTGAATCTGCTGGGGCTGATTGAAGATTATTTCCGGAAGTTGACGACTTTTTGCACATGCGTATGGGACGCTTTTGCGAGGTGGGAAAATTCATTCGTTCGTTGTATTTAACATTCTGCCCAAATATTGGAGGTTTCTACACTCTCTGGAATCTAACGACTACTGCATGGTATCTCAGATTTTGCTCTTGTATGTAACTATACCTCGCACCCTCTTTTTCTGTTTTCACTTGTTCACTAGTAGCGATTTTGTGTAAGCTAAACACTGCTATACAGCTTAAGTATGACTGCTTTTTCTTACTGGTTATTAATTGTTTATATTTTATTTTCTGTAGTTAATTAATTTCCAGAATGAAGATTGCAATAGAGGGCTGCTGTCATGGGGAACTTGACAAGATATACGAGACTATTTCTTATCTGGAACAAAAAGAAGGGATAAAAGTAGATTTACTGCTATGTTGTGGAGACTTCCAAGCGGTGCGGAATGAAGGGGATATGAAGTGTATGGCAATTCCACCTAAGTACAGGAAAATGCAGACTTTTTACAAGTTAGTTGTTTCTTTTAAAATACCTTAAACATATAACCGCTCTTTTCAAAGAAAAAAAAAATATATATATATATGTATATAATTCTAGATACTACTCAGGAGAGAAGAAAGCGCCTGTGCTGACTATCTTCATAGGTGGAAATCACGAGGCTTCGAACCACCTGCAAGAACTCCCTTATGGAGGCTGGGTTGCTCCCAACATTTATTACTTGGGTATGATTTTCAAGAATTTACTGTTTATTTTAGTTATATTCTTTCTGTTCTGGACCTTGATGTGGCAATGCTGTATGTTATGTAGGTTATGCTGGAGTTATTCGCTACAAAGGCATAAGAATTGGAGGTGCATCTGGAATATTCAAATCTTATGACTACAGGAAGGGTGAGTTGATTTTTAACACATTTTATTGGCATTATGTAATAAATTGGCACTTTTTTCAGGTCACTTTGAATATCCCCCTTATAATCCAGAATCACTTCGAAGTGTTTACCACATCAGAAATATTGACGTTTTTAAATTAAAACAGGTATGGTGTTGGGTATAGTAAGGTATGGTTCTTTTGATAATGTTTTTTTCTTACGGATAAAAAAAAAATATTTCACTCAGATTCAAATGCCCATGGATATTTTTATGAGTCATGACTGGCCACTGGGGATTTATCATTATGGAGACACAGAGAATCTTCTTAAAAAGAAGAAGTTTTTGCGCCAGGAAGTGGAGTTTAATTCTCTTGGAAGTCCTGCTGCAGAGGAGCTTCTCTCTCACCTCCAGCCTAGCTACTGGTTCTCAGCACATCTTCATGTCAAGTTTGCTGCCGTTATGCAACATCCAGTAAGAGGACTAAGACTGTAGCAAGAAAAATATTATCTACTAGTATATATTTAAATAAATTGTTTCTTGTGTTTTTTCTTCCCAGCCCAAAGGGAATGCTCCACCACGAGTAACAAAATTCCTTTCACTGGACAAATGTTTGCCCAACAGAGACTTCCTACAGGTAATTAAACATTTTTATTTTAGATTCTAGTTGAGGATTCATGAGTAGTATATTGCTGATGTTGCAGATTGTAGATATCCCAGATAGACCAGATTCATCTGATGATGGGCTAGAGTATGATCCAGAGTGGCTTGCTATTCTGAAGAGTACAAAGTCTCTGCCGTCAACCAGTTGTCAAATCTGGAATCCACCAGAAAATAATGGTCTACATGAAAAGTAAATATTTCAGTGCTGGTTACCATGTAGTGTCTTCATTACATGTTAATTGTAACTTTTAAATAGGTGGGACTTCAGAGTTTCAGAAGATGACATGATGAAGGTGATGGAGGATCTTGATGGCAAACTCTCCATTCCAGACAACTTTAGTTTGACTCTGCCAGTTTATGATCCTGCAAATCCCCAACCGCAGATGGCACCGAGTTATAACATCAACCCACAAACCACTGAGCTGTGTGCCACTTTAGGGCTTACGGACATCTACGCTCTGGTTGGACAGGGCAGAGGTGAGTTGGGACAGAGCTTTGGTGATTCCAGAGGGGAGGAGGATGATGCCCATAGTGTAGAAAGTGGAGATGAACCCAGTGAGTATCCGACCGACACTTCAGCATTGTCAGGTTCTTTCAATCCTGATGAAATCACAATAGAGGATGAATGGGAAGAAGAAGAGGAGGTAAAGGAAGGGAAATTCACCAAACCTTCAACTAGTGAAATCCACACTCCTAACCGCTTGATTCTGCCAGAACCCAAAGTTTCTACTTCTCCTAGTGGCGTAACTGACTTGGTGAACATGCCTCCTCCTTTGCACTCTACACCTGCTTCAGTCCGCTGTCAATCTGAAAATAGTGGGGATGACAGTAATAACGAGGATACATCAGCTGTTCGCGTGCTGAAGCGTAGCAGCGATGAAAGGGTAAATCCTAGCAGTCGTGGCACCGCTCCATTGATAAAGCGCAGGAACCAAGTTATATATACAACAGTAGATGATGAAAATGAAGATTAAAATCAGATTTAGTTAATTTCATTATTTTTTTTAGCTTGTTTTGAAGTGAACCAATTACACAGTGAATTTGAACAAGAAATGTTTTTACAAAAAAATATATAACGGAGGTTGTACGAACTTATTTTATATTGTATACATTTCATAAGATGTTCAAATACACATGCTTTTATACAATATCGGGAACTTAGACAGTATTGTTTTTTGTTTTGTTTTTTTAACTGACGTACCAATATCTTTTAAAAAACACGGGAATAATCAAAAAAATGTGTTCTACATGACCTGATACTTTTTAACATGAATAAGATGTATGATTTCTGACTACACTTAAAAACACAAACTGAAAAATAAAATCATGATATTCAACAAAATCATGGAAATTGACTCAATATATATTGAACAATAACAGAACTGGTTTTCACATACATTCACCAAAAATATTTTTTGCAAAATCCTAGACAACAATGATTCACAAAGTTTAAATTATTTATTGCCACTATGTTTTCATATTCACAAACAGCTTTGCCAAGAGACAATGAGCAAGTGAGAGACACACCAAATACAAGATGGACAGTGTTCTCCTGCTTTAGACATTTATTACAGCGTAATATTCATCCCAGTTTTTCATTCAAATTACTTAAAATAAAAACTGAAAAAGCTTGTGGTTAGTAGTAGTCCAGTCTGCACATTGGTAATAACTTGTGAATCCTTCGGTTCAATAATATTAAATTAAATAAATTGCAATACTTAAATAAAAATGCTAATTGTTAATATACTTTTGGATGTTTCTGCTACAGATATCAATTTTAACGTTGCCAGTTGCCAGTGACTGTGCTGTATATTGTTTGGGACTAAGCACACAGTGGTTTGGTTGAGACAAGGCAGCATTGCAAAATCTTTATGCAGGCAAAGCTCACTTGCTTTTTAACTGTTTTATACCTCACTTAATTTCCAGTCTTTTCAGCATTTGCTTATTGCGCTTTAGTGTGTGTGTGCATTTTGTGCAATCAAACTGCTTTGCAATAAAACAGAATTATAACAAAAATTTTTACAATTCGTGCCAAATATCATGCTAGGTCTGCCAGTGATTTCAACAGTCATTGTTATTCACCTCATTTCAGTATTTCTCATTTACAAGTGAACAGATATACATGTAGCTTTCAGTCTTGTTTTCTCTTCCCTCTAAAGATAAATTCTTTTGGTGTGAACTGAAGGATGAATGTAGGTTTTGGGTGGGTAAAGAATCGCAGAGATGTTGACACATCACATTCACTGGTAGAAGAACTTGACTGAAGATAGGGCTGTGGTGGAGCCATGATGGTGAATGGTCTAATACTGCTATTTATCCAGAAGGTCTAGTTTCCTCCACAGCATGCCCGAGTAGAGTGAGCATCTGGGTCCTGAAGGTTAACGCCCCGGTGCCGAGCTGCATGTGTAGGATTCTGGGTGTCTGTTTTTGGCATCTTTTTAGCTATTTTATAAAAACAACAAAAGCAAAAAAAATTAAAAATTTAAATTGCTCTAGCCTAAACCCTGAAAAGAACACATTTTGTCTACTGAATATAATCTTACCAATTGCCAGGAAAAGTTCATTAACGTTCATGGCTGTCTTGGCAGAGGTTTCCATAAAAAGTAAACCAGTGTCTTCAGCATAAGTCTGGGCTTCCTGTACAGCAGAGAAAAAAAGACTGTAACGATTGTCTTCAGATAGCATAGAGTGCACAGCATTCTAGTGACTGAAATAGTTTTTTACCTCAAATTCTACTAGTCTTTTTTCTGACAAATCTGCTTTGTTACCAGCCAGGGCAATCACAATGTTAGGGCTTGCCTGTCTCTGCAATTCCTTAACCCAGGCCTTGGCTCTCTCAAATGTGTCCTAGAAAACATCAGTTAGATGAAACTTCAAACACGTAAAAAAAAAAAAAATAATAATAATAATAGCATTTCTTATGAACATAAAAAGTAAGGTACCGGTTTGGTGATGTCAAATACCACAATGGCAGCCTGTGCTCCACGATAATACATAGGTGCCAAGCTGTGGTATCGTTCTTGTCCTGCAGTGTCCCATATCTCAAACTTTACAGTGGTATCATCTAGACACACTGACTGTGCCAGAAATGCAGCTAAAAAGGAAAGAATAAATTATAACTACTTCATTGGTAAAACCTGTGTAATTGTAATAACAAGTAACAATTGTATACCACATTCATAATAATGAAAACATAGTATATACCTCCGATAGTGGTCTCTTGAAATTCATCAAATTGCCCTTTAACAAAACGAAGCACAAGGCTGGATTTCCCCACAGCCATGTCCCCCAGCAGTACTAACTTGAACTGGCAAATCTTGGTCTGTGGCAGAGCGCCATTGGAGCGGCCTCCACTCCCTCTGGAGCTCATACTGACCAGAGTAAGAGCCTCCTCCCGGGGTGGAGACAGGTACTTCTGTGGTAAGGCTCACTAGCAATGCTTTTAAGATGAAGGCCCACTTCTGTACCAGTAGTTAGCTCTTCTATTAGGCTGTGGGAATAAGAAAATATTCTGTCACTCAGTGAAATACAAATACTACACAAACAACCATCTATAGGAAATAGTTGGTTCATATTTCTGGGATTTTATTAGATTGTGTTATATAGGCCCAGTCTATTTGTATTTAAGGGACACCGTAAAGAGGCACATAACTGGTCAGATAGAGCTGCACTGTCTACCACCCAATTGACAACAATGGCGAACATGATCATCCACTGCTACAGCACAATAAAGACACAACCTCCGCAACAAAATATTTACAGGAGAACGTAGAAAAAGCTTTCACCATTACACAGCAGCACCACCTTATCCAATATTATTGTTATCAGTTTCAACCCTTATCAAACCATCATGTACTATGACGCGCTGGTAATTCTCTAACAACAGCAGGTTGATTTAAACCTTCACATGCTAACATCTTAACAAAACCTACACGTAAACGGTTCAAATCAATATAGCGCATTAAATATAAAGAATAGTTGCTCGGGCACCTTTCTGTAATATCGTTTCAGAAGCACAGATAAACCTCACTTCTCTGTTGACAATTTTCGCTGTCAGCTGGTGAACGAAATGCTACTTCCTGAAGAAGTGCGCATGCGCCATGTGTATTGCCTGTCAACTTAGAATGGGATGAATAATAGATAACATTTCTGAGGTGATTCCTTTATATTGTATATGGTTAAATACGTGCACGCGTTATGAAATTTTCTCGGCAGGATGTTTATAGAATACAAAATTATATTACCTAAACAAACTAAGCCTCCACACCACTAGAGGCACTAACATACATTAAATAGAGCAACCACCATGTGTGGCACCGTGAATCATTTATTTCTCTAATGTAGCTCTCATTAGAAGAGTAACTGTAATATTTATTTTTTATAGGAGATCTGCTTTTACTAGATGATGTGTACGGCGACGTGGTAACTGATAGGTAAGGAGGTGGGGACATTGCCATCATGCCTTTAATAAACAAAAAGAAACTGGGAAAAGACACTGCGGTGAGTTTTTGTGTTTGTCTTACAAAAGTTTTTTCAGTCAGATAATTAATGAGACAACATCTGCGGTTTGATGCATAGACTGTAAAACTGTGATTTGGCTTAACCTACAGGTACAAGGGACCAATGACAGTAGTGTGGTGAGCAAAGTGTCAGCTGCTGCCCAGGGCTACTTTCTGGATGTGTACCTGCAGCACTTTGTGTGTAAAGTGTCAAGAAGAGCACCACTTATCAACAGGTTTAAGAGATAAATGCTTTTCAAATTAAACTTTAAAGGTGCACTATGTCACTTTTATGGTGGAAGGCTTACCATGTGTTTGTCCCCAAGGAGATGTTATTGCTTTGTCTGACCAGGATTACCCCTTCACTGATCTGACCTGTGTCACCTGCTTTGTTTTCCGTAAATACATATACAGTCATGGACAAAATTGTTGGTACCCCTCTGGTAAGGAAAGAAAAATCAACAATAATCACTGAAATAACTTGAAAATGAGAAAAGCAGTAATAAATAAAAAATGTACTGAAAATTGGCCAGCAAAAATCAAACATTGTTTTTCGCCTGTGGTTCAACAGAATTATTAGAAAAAATAAAATAATTAAACTGGCCTGGACAAAAATAATGGTACCCTTAACTTAATATTTTGTTCCACAACCTTTAGAGGCAAACTCTGAAAGCAGACAATTTCTGTAACTGCCAGTGAGACTTCTGCAGTGGTCAACAGGTATTTTGACCCATTTCTCATGAGCAAACTGCTCTAGTTGTCTTGGATTTGAAGGGTTCGGTCTCCAGACAGGCATCTTTCAGCTCCTTTCACAGATGTTCAAGAGAATTGAGATCTGGGCTCACAGACCGCTGCAGAACAGTCCAATGTTTTGTTCTTAGCCATTCTTGGGTGTTTTTAGCTGTGTGTTTTGGTTCATTATCCTGTTGGAAGTCCCATGACCTATGCCTGAGACCAAGTTTTCTGACCCTAGGCAACACATTTTGTTCCAAAATACCTTGATAGTTTTGTGGTTCCATTGTACAGATTCAAGATACCTTGTTCCAGATGCAGCAAAACACCCCTAGAACATAACCAAACCTCCTCCAGGGTTCACAGTAGGGACAGTGTTTTTTTCTTGGTGTGCTTCATGTTTGCGTCTGTGAACATAAAGCTGATGTGTCTTGCCAAAGAGCTCCAGTTTTGTCTCATCTGTCCAAAGAACATTCTCCCAGAAGCTTTGTGGCTTGTCAGTATGCACTGTGACAAATTCCAATCTCACTTTTTTATGATTTGCTCTCAACAGTGGTGTCCTCACATAAAGTCCACTTTGGCTCAAACAGTGACAGGATGGTGCGATCTGACACTGATGTACCTTGCCCTTCAAGTTCACATTTAATTTGTTTGGAGGTTGTTCTGGGCTCTTTGGTTCCATTCATAAGACCCATCTTTTCAATTTGTCATCAATTTTCCTCTTGCAGCCACATCCAGGGAGGTTGGCTACAGTCCTGTAGTTCTGAAGAACATATGCATCTGTAATCACAGGAACATCAAACTGCTTGGAGATGGTCTTATTGTCTTTATATTTAACCTGCTTGTCTATAATTTTCTTTCTACTCTCCTGACACAGTTCTCTTTTTCACTTTCTCTGGTCCATGTTCAGTATCATGTCTCGAAACGGCACAATGACAACATGTCTCCCTTTAAACAGGCAGACTGACTGAGGACAAGTTTGAAGACACCTGTGATGCCAATTAGAGGACACACCTAAGTTTAACATGTCCCTGTTGTTCAGTTACTTACAATCTTTTCTAGCGGTACCATCATTTTTGTCCAGGCCAGTTTCATTAGGTAGTTTTTTTTTTTTTATAATTCTGTTAAACAACAATTCAAAAGCAGTGTCTGATTTTTACTGACTATTTTTCAGGAATTTTTTTATTCATTATTGCTTTTCTTAGTTTTAAGTTATTTCAGTGAAAATTGTTGATTTTCCTTTCATTGCCAGAGGGGTACCAACAATTCTGTCCATTGCATTTTGTTCATCACATATATGTAGATGCAACATTTCAGGCAAAACTATGACATCTCCATGGAAAAAAGCAGGTGGTGGAAGTTGAATAGTGCCCCTTTTAAAAATATTATTTTGGTCATAATACACTAATTAATAGGTCATAATACTTAATACATGCATTGCAGGGGTTACTATGTTCGCTGGAGAGCTGTGGACCACTGTGTGAGAAGATTTCTTGAAAAAACTTTAGATTGTCCAAAAAGACAGGCAAGCTTGTACACACTTGTAGCAACAGATTGGTCCATTGTTCTATTGATGTAAGAGGAATTTCTTGATTAATGTGTTGCAGATTTTGTCCTTGGGAGCGGGATTTGACTCATTGTATTTTAGGCTCCATTCGTGTGAAATCCTCACAAGTGCTGTAGTGTTTGAGGTAGATTTTCCTGATGTGGCCCGGCGTAAATCTGCACTGATAAACTCAAATGAGACGCTAAGGGAAATGCTTGATTCTGTTGAACAATGTCTCGCAGGTAGGTTATCACTTAAAATTTTTGATAGAACAGAATTTAATTGCTCATCAATATATTTGATTTTGCAGAACCTTTGTACTTCTCCAGCTCACAGTATCGACTGCTTGGTGTTGATGTGAGAGAGCTTGCTCAAATGGAAAAAGCTCTTGATTTAGCTGGTTTTGTATGGACAGCTCCAACCCTAATTTTATCAGAAGTGGTGCTTACATATATGGAAACAAAGTGGTAAGCAGCAACAGTATAATTCTTATGCTGTCTGTGTTAATTATAATCATGTTATTATACAAATTTGTTTTCTAGGTCCGACTCAGTCATAAAATGGGCAGCAGATTATCTACCTCAGTCACTGATTTTAATTTATGAACAAATTCATCCATTTGATCCATTTGGACAAATAATGCAAGAACATTTTAGAAAATTAAATTCAGCTCTTTATGCCCTGCAAAAATACCCAGACATTGAAGCACAAAGAATTAGGTTCCTTGATAATGTAAGTTATACAAAATAGATTTTATTTATTCTGATCATTGTGTCATGAATAATAATATGTTGTCAGGGCTGGGAGCAGTGTGTCTGTTTAGACATGAATAGTTTCTACTTTGGACTGGTTCCTGAGGTGGAAAGACTAAAAATTGAAAATCTGGAGCCATTTGATGAATACGAGGTAATTTTTATTATGTTCCAACACTTTTGAGGCATACTCAACTGAAAATTGTATCAACTGTATTTCATGTTACTGTTATTAGATTGTATTAGGCACTGATTGGTAGTAGATTATTATTATTTATATTATTCTATAAAACATGACCTGCGTTTCTCTTACAGGAGTGGCACCAAAAATGTTCCCATTACTTCATTCTCACTGCATCTCGAGGGTCTCTGGCAGCTCATGAAATATTGTTTCTACCAGGTAGCTTTTTTGAAGAGTATTTTATTAAATACTATTGCATTATATATATCCATAATATTGCCATTTTTAAGTTAAAGTATTTATATATTTTTAAAATATTTTAGTGTCTCCACTGACAATCACCAGCCCCTCGTATAGCCCCATATCCCTACTTGTGAGAACAATACCAGTTTCAACAGAGGGACTGGGGATGGGATCTGCCTGTCTTTGTCCAAATGTTGTACTTCTTACTGGTGGGTCAAGCAAAGGAGGCAGGGAAGCACAGATGGGATTACTACTCAAAAATAAAGACAACTGGAATTTTATGAAAGTAGCACCATCTGGAGATTTAGGTATTTGTTATTTTGTATTCTGTATTGAGTTAGTAATATATCTCTAAATAGCAATAAATTGTCCTTTTTTATAAATTGATTAAATTATGTTATGTTCTTTCTTACAGGTGTCCGTTTATACCACACTGTGTCAGCCATTCCAGGGAAATCTGCTATCGTATTAGGGGGGCGTGCCTCTCCCCTTAACCCAGTGAAAACTATATGCAAGATAACAATAGACCCATGCTGTGCACTTGATTTGGAGGGTCAAGACAATGTAGAAATTGGTGTACAGCAGGTAGTTTGTGAGGGTGGATCTTCCGTACCAAGATGGAGACACACCACTACTTTAATCAGCCATAAAGGTAAGAGGAATTCAATTTTAATTTTATGGATTTTTTTGTACTTTTTATCTTTAGAGTTTACTTTTTTCATTGCAGGTAAAGATTTTCTTTTTCTTTTTGGTGGCAAGAATGAAACACAGGAAGTCCTTGGAGAGAGTAACTTCATGGACCTAAGTCAAAATCGTTGGACAGAGGTTGTATTTGTGTGTGACATAAAATTATTTTTGTCCTATATTTTCAAATTAGTAATATCTGAATGAATTATTGCAGGTGCCAGTTGAAGGAGCAGCGCCAGAAGCCAGATTCTCCCATTCAGCGTGTTCATACAAAGGAGGTGTGGTGATATTTGGAGGCCTGGGCAGAAGAGGAGTTCCACTTGGAGATACCACACTGCTAAAGCCAACCAACAGTGGCTTTTGTTGGCAGAGACTAGATATAAAACCCCCTCCTGTTGCGAGGTATGTTGGACATGAGCCTAATCTTGAAAACAATGTTCTCATTACACATATGACATGGTATGTTATTTTGTAGATACTCCCATACTGCTCATGTGATTGGAGATAAACTACTTGTGGTTGGCGGAGTGTGGCTCTGTTTACATGTTCCAGGGGTGGCTGTGATCAACCTCAACACACACAGCAGCATAGAATATCGCCTTGATGCGGTGAGTAAATATACTACATATTCTAGACCCATGGCCTGTTACCATTATGCACACACTGTATATATGCAAGTACAAGTATTTATAATGTTTTTCCATGTTTAGGCCTCAGTTCCCTGGCCTCTGATGCTCCACTCTTTCTGCTCTGAGCTAACTAGCTCAAAGGAGATATTGTTGATAGGAGGAGGTGGAAACTGTTTTTCTTTTGGGACTCACTTAAACCCACAACCGGTTGTTGTGGATCTCCGACCAATTGCCTGCTTGGACAGTTAGTAAAAACAGCTGGTCTACATTAGACACAATAAAATATATTTTTAAGTAATAAGTAATAAATAACCATTCAGAATTACAGTATGCTTATTTGCCTTTTATTTGGAGACCTCTGCACTTTGATTTACAGTCATTTGATGAATCACAAATTGGTTTAGAGATGGCTCACTCTGTGAAGCGCTTGAAAGACTGAACTGTTGCATTCGCTGCACCCCAATCCCCAGGCTTGCGGTACTCGCCCTTTTCGAGAAAGTATTGACGTCCACGATAGTTGGAGTGCTCGTAGAAAACCCACCAACCGTCAAACACCTTGCAGGAGTTGACCTCTCTCCAGCGGAGCTTCTCCAGAAGTGAAGGGCAGTCGTCTGTGGCTTCAAAGGCCTGGCCTCCAAAGTCTGCCTTCTCATACAGCTGCATTTTGTAGGAGGTTTCACTGGTCTGGGGGTGCCATGCAGCATGGAGTGGTGGTTAAAGCAGGTCGGCAGCAGTGAAGGGACAGAGAGTTAAAATAAGATTAGTGGCTAAGAAAAACATGTTTATGTATTTGGATGTTTTCCTGTCGCTTTAGCTCATAGAACATTTGGCATTTCTGGCATAATCAAGAGCATTAGCTTTGAACCAACTCTTAAACTCCACCTTACACAGCGCTCAGAGTTCACTGTTTAAAATGGTACACTGATGTGGATGCATATTTCTAGTAACCATATTGATTTTGTGTGACTAAAGTTGCCTGAGGCTGCAGGTCAGCTCATGTTTGCCTGAACAAAGCCACATATATTGATTTTGGCAAATGGGAATCATTAGGAGTCATTTAAATCCCTAACACTGAATTTCAATATATTTGTCAAGTATACATTTTTCATAAACAGCTAACTAACCAGTAAAATAATAAATATATTAAGATCAATTAGTAGAGACATTAAGCACTTTAGACCACATTACCATTGCTTGACTTACAAAGTGGATCATCTTGCAGGAGCTGATGCGATCATTGATACCCATCCACCGCTGGTACTCTGGATATTCCCCTCTCTTCACTACATACTGATAGCCCATGTAGTTAGGCCTCTCATACACAACCCATGCCCCACTCTCTACCCGGATGGAGTTGCACCGACTCAGGTAGGCTTGGAAGTCAGAGCAGTTACTGTCACACTCATACCGACGGCCCTGGAAGTTTTTGTCCTCATAAAAGACAATCTGAGGAATAATTTGTTTCATTAAAGTTACTATAATACCCACATCAAGTTGTTTCGTTAACATTTTAAAAACAAACTCACCCTGCCCATGTTGACCTATTTAGAAAGGCCTTGATGATAAGTGGTGGTCCCCTGAGGTCTCTGTGTTATTCAGGCTCATAGACAGTGCCTTTTATACACGCGCTTTCCCACATTTATAAACAGTTCGAGGGGGGGGGGCAAGAGAGGAACAATTGCTTTGTCATGAAAATGAGATCCAAAAATTGAGTCAGTGATTCTAGTGCTATTCAGTTTTTCCAGAAACGCGAGGAAGGATTACGGCATAAAGGCCGGGCATGGTGAGCGTCCGCTGACCTCACTTCTGTTCTGACTGGTACAGTTCAGTGCTGGCTCACACCCCTGCTTTTCACTGATGCTCCTATGCCAGCTGCACCAGCCAGTGTGCCCTGGCACAGCTATACAAACTGCTCTTTCAGTGAATCATGATCATTTATATTTTAACAAATTAAGATTTTTGTTACATTATTTATTATATGAGTATTAAAGTGCATATTAACAGGTGCTTTAATTGGTGATTTAATTTAAATGGTCAAAAATCTGATATCTGATTATGCACCATACCACAAGCAAAACTGCAAAATGGAAAAAGAAAGAATGTAATCATTGAGGCCAAACATCTCAAGTAAAAGCTTTTTATTCTGTTTAATAAAAATATAAACCTGAAATTGACTGATGCAGCATCTCAAGTATAAGCACACTCCTAGGCATATTGGTGTTGGATGTTCAAGAAAGTAGCATTTGTTCTCTTGAGTGATCAATAATATGGCAGGCAGAGGGAAAGTTGCACATGCAAAATTGACAAAAGAGATCATTATAGCATTGCTAAAAATGCTAATACAGACAAGTGAAATTTTAGGTAGAATAGGTCTGAACTGTTTTTAATTTTCTCTCAATTCATATTTAAAATATTTTTTAAAATGCACGTTTGGAAAATATACTGATACCTGGTAACTGGGCATTAGCTACAGTTTAATCATTCATTCAAGGAGTCAGTTGAAATATTTATTAGAAAAAAAATATACAATTTACTCAGCCCAAGGCTTAATATCAAAAATATACTAAGACTACAAAATATGTACTTCTTATCTTATGTCTGCTAACTCACAAACTATATACATTTATTTCTATTGTTAATATATTTTCTACACAAATGACACTGGACATTATTTAAATTCATTCAATCTATTTTTTTGTTCATGGTATTCATTTGCAATCTAAGTAACTTTAAAGAGACTTTAGAAGATTTAAATTACCATACACTTCCACTCAGGTGCTTGGGATGTTGTTCAACAACATGCCAGTTCACTCCCTACTTGGCTTAAATACAGAAAGTGTACTATGACTAAAAAGATGGCACAGCTTTAAAATCTCCACAAACTTAAGAGAAGATGACTTAGGCAGATGTTTAGCAGGCTGATGGCATCACATGTTCATTACATTTTAATAGGCCGCAGTAGACCGTCCTTTTGCTTGTCCATTTGTTACAATGCTGTCACCATTAGCTGTTAGAGAATTGGGGTTGTTGGGGGTCTTCTGTGGAGCTAAGAGTGCTGGTGACAGACTGTCCAATTCTTTTCTGTGTCCAGTTTCTAGGAGCCACTCGTGAAACTTCATTTCAACCAGCGCCTGGAACTGACTCCTCTGTTCCCTTGGAAAAAAAAAAGAGAACATGTTGTAGGAGGTATGTAAAATATTTGGCCAAGCGCTGTCTACTATTATTAATGAAATAATAAACCTATTCCAAGGATCAGTTTTCATAAGCAACTGCATTACATGACAGTGATTTTACATTACTTGTAACAGGGTCCTCTATATGTCTAATATACAAGGCATTTGAAATCTTACTTATTTAGTCGAATCTCTGTCACAGTCCTTTGCCAGTTCTGTATCCTCTTCTTCTTCTCTTCAACTGCTTCTTGGTACAAAGGTGGCAGTCCTCCTGGAATCTCGCATGTGTCCCCATCCATTTCAAAAGGCACAACCAGTGTGTGGAACTCTGCTGGAGGAATCAGGCGGTAGCAGCCCGACTCAGGGCTGTTTGTTGTGTTGCACTGTGTAGACTTTAAAATGCCGTCCGTCCCCAAAACCAAGGGCTGATCCCAAACATTCGGGACAACTGCTAAACCCACACTTGCCATGTGATCCTCCAGGGAGGGATAGAAAGTGTGAAAGGGACCAAAGCTGATGTCGGTGTTTCCAGGAAGTAGCAATGGTCGCGTAGGAGTCAAGATAAAGGCAGTACAGTGTGAAGATGCTCCAAAGACTACTCTCCCTGCAACACACACCACCTTCACATTTTGACAACTATGAACATGGACAGCAGTTTCCACTGGACCTAGGACAATTGTACAGTCACGGCACTTGTCCACTGTCACTGATCTGAAAAATTACCAACAAAAAAATCATCTTCATTTTGAAAATGACAAAATACAATATTACAGAGTCACCTTTACCTTAGAGGTGAGAGAAGATATATGAAGGACTCAGCACATCGATGTATCTTCATGTTGGTACCGGTTAACTTTTCTGAAGTTTTAGCAAGTGTTTGCTTTAACACCTGAGACATCAACACTATTTTACTACCAGGTGGAGCTGTGTGAGTATTTCTGGCTATTTTGGCTCTCTTCATAGCCCCCTCCACTAAAACACACAAAGAAGCCGAGGATTAAAATATTAACATAAGTAAAATACGATGCAAGTAATCAAAATGAGAGGTCACCTTGTTGGGCCCATGCTAGTTTTTTCCCTGAGTGCAGACACGCAGTGATCCCGAAAGGGTTGAGGGAGAGGTTTTGTTGGAGACACGAGAGGAGCTTGTGGAGAGGGAAAGAATGGCTTTTTGTACAGTAACCTGCTTCGGTCTGAAGAGGGCCCTTGGTCAACAGTCGATAAACAGGCTGGACAGCTCTGCCTTGACTCACAGAACCCTCCAAGAGTAGGCTTAAACTTCGCACCGCCTCCAGAGATATCTGTAAAAACACAATAATATTATGCATCATCTAAATACAAAGTACTTTGTTTAAATAAAGACTGAGCTGTCAGACCTGAGAATCTCGCTGAGTCTGCCCACTTGGTTCAACTAGTAGCTCCAAAATCTCAGCAAGATGATTATTTACAAATGAAAGGTGTGCCTGGTCGTCCCAGTTCTATGAACGAGACTGAAGGCATTAATATTTACCAGGAAATAGTTCATAGCACAAGTGATATATGGCCTTACTTTGTTTTGGGAACTTGTCTTGCCCTCACGTTCTGATGGGGACGGGGAAGGGGAACGGGTTCGATGACTGGGCCACTCTTCAACGATGGATGAAGAACGTAAAGACACACGGTTGAGCTGTTGAATAAAGAGAAAGAGGAGGAACTGCAGCGTGTCCACTGACAACTGCAAAGTAAAGAAAAACACATTTTACTTTATATATTATCAATTATAACTACTGTAATAACTCTGATTTAATGTCACAATTATGATAAAATAGAGCATTACAGTTTGAGATGACCTGAGCACCATATAGGTAAATGAATTTCACTCCTCCCCAGTCGTATTTCACCTTGTTCCTTTGTTGATCCAATTCACTTTTGGAGGAGCACTGGGAGAGACTTTCAGCCCACTCGAGTCTTTTCTCTGGGGTACGTCCAACAAGAAGGTCAAATGTCTCAAAGTAGAGCCATGCAAGGTCTTCTGGAAGCTGTAGTTTTCCACAGGCAATATGCCTCCACATTGGCCAGCCCAACACAGGAAAGCAGCCATCCCTTGTCCGTACGTATGTTGCCATCTTTCGAAGATAGTGAAGGCTAAGCTTGGAAGATGGGGCCACCTGAAAAGAATATAGTCTGTATGGTTTATTTTTCACTTTAACCCTTCACCTGGGGAAAATGTAATGTACACCTACCTGCAAAGCTCCTAACATGAATGGCTCCATGCGTGGCCAAATGCATATGCCTTCCTCCTCCATCTCTCTGGAAAAAAGGGAGGCAACAGTAGATAGATTTACATTCAAGACAAGTTCATCAAGAAATATGTACGCATGGGTTAAAATGCTGTTTGGTTTATTTACAATGTGAGAAGCAAGTGAGCATTAATCATTGCACCATCAGGCAAAACAATCCCTTGACAACTAGAAACTAAGCTACCCATGTTAACAACACCTGACAATGAAAACAGTCAACCAGTCCGTCAAGTCTGGAGTATATAATAATATTTGGCAGAACAGAAAACAGTGCGTAGCAAACGAAAAACAAATCCGGTGTTATGCCTAAAAACCTTCAACAGCTAGGTGACTGGAAGTTTTAGCACTGTGGATCATTTCGCTGTTAGCTAGCTTAGCAGTAGTTGGACGTGAAAACAACTTTGATCTTACTTTCTTTCTTTGTCCAGCGCGTTTCATACGATGTATTTTATCCGGATCACCCTTTGAAATATTAGCAAGTCATGTCGACGATTGGAGTTTGTTTTGGTTGAGAGGCGCAGTCCTAAGTGCAGACACATCTGTCCCTTCTTCCTATTTGGCGCCCTCCCTCGCACAACAGCCCTGCCCCTCAATGAACTGATGCATTGTACTCTGATATGACTCAACCTAGATCCACCGGAGCCAGCACTGAGTAAAAAAAACATTGGTAAAACATAAGATTTGCTTTAATTAAACAATACAAACTTTTAATTATTGTCACAAATAATTATAATATACCATACGTACAGTAGTATACAGGAGAGTGTGACAATTACGAGTACAGTCTATGGTGAGAAGTACTTGTCGGGGTTGCCAGATTTTCACATAGCAACAAGTGACAAGTTGTATTTTAGGCATTACTATTAATGTAACACAAAATTGAAAAACGATAGTAATTACCTCGCTAAATGCTACTGATTATTTTAACAACATACTTTATAAAAAATAAAAATAAACTAGAAAAGCACTCAGAGAGCGCAGACCTCCGCTAAGGACTACCCCCATTTTTGATATAAATTGCGATAAAATCGGTCTTCTGGATCAGATCCGGATCAGCCTTTGGAATATGAAAGAGGATCCCATTGTACATCCCTGAGTCAAATTTCATGGGGTTTGGTCAATAATTAACCGAGATATTGAGAAACTAAATTTTTGGCCAAATTTACCACAATGTTAACTAAAATTTCAAAGTGATCCAGAATCCAGGATTTCTTCCGGATCACCCCCAAAATGAAATCAATTCTTCCTTTTCACATTTCCAACAAATCCTGAAAATTTCATCAAAATCGGTCCATAACTTTTTGAGTTATGTTGCTAACAGACAGACAAACAGCGGAGGTTAAAAAAAGCCCAAAATCGTTCTAAAAAGTGGATTTGGCAACTCTGCTACGTGGGCTGGACGGAGTGTAGGGGGCGGGACTTCTCTGACAGCCGGAAGAAGGTTTGTGACTGGCAGCAGGAGCCAGCTTCAAAAGCCGGTGGATCTCCTTCGGCCTTTTCGTTAAATTGTGTTGGATTTTGAGGATCTATGGCTGCTAAGGGGACCAGTTTGTGCTCGGTTTGCTGTTTGCTGCTCTACGCGGTCACGGTGGTGCTGGCAGGGTGAGTGTTTTAACCCAGGGAAGTGAGCTAAAAGCGGTGAAACATCATCTCCAGCTGGTACACATGTTTGACTGTGATTGGTCTAGAGGTGTTCTTCGTCTGTGTAGTGGCTAGAAACGCACAATAAAAAACACTTTACCGAGACATATGGATTATTTTTAGTGAAAGCAATTGGAAAATAATGCAGCAAGCAGAAGCTGTAACTCTTATAAAGATTACCCTTGACTGGAGTGAGGAAGAGCAGTCCTGTTAGCTTTAGCAACGGTTAGCAATCATACAATCTATGTTAGCGATACTGATTATGTTTCGTTTTTAGAACGATGACAGAACAATACTGGATGTTTTGAGTGATTTTTCCCTAAAGTACCTACTGCCTGAAAGCACCTACTTTTCTGTGCCTTTTCATTTAGCGTGGGAAGTTAAGGATTGCTGTTTTTCTTTTTTTTTTCTCCCACTTCTCTTTTAGGCGAGACTTTTACAAGATTTTGGGAGTGAGCAAGACTGCTTCTATCAGGGACATCAAGAAGGCTTACAGAAAACTGGCTCTTCAGTTACACCCCGACAGAAACCAGGACGACCCCAAAGCTCAGGATAAATTTGCAGATTTGGGGGCTGCATATGAGGTAAGTTATGTTGTCTTGGTCGCACTGAACTCTATGCACATGTATTTTATAATTTGTATATAAGATAATAGTGTGATTTATACTCAAGTCTTTGTACCAAGCCATTTGGTTGTTGATAGAAACGCTGCAGGCTTGGTGATTGGTTGGTTAGACTGTGTGGCTGCTTCTGATTGGCTCTGTGCAGGCATTGTGTGCTTTCCGAAAACCTGGAGTGGATGTAGTGGATGGAGCTGAATGGGGTCATTGAGTTTACTTATACAGAAAACGTATTGTTGTGTAATGTTATTGTATGCCCTTCCTGTTGTAAGGTGTTGTAATGAAGTTAATTATTAAATCTAATATGATGGTATGTGGCTAAAATGTGTGTCTATCGAAACCACCATAGGTGCTCTCAGATGAGGAGAAAAGAAAACAGTATGATGCTTATGGGGAAGATGGACTTAAAGAAGGCCACCACGGCTCGCATAATGACATCTTCTCAAGGTTGTTTTAAGTTTATTATGAATGCAGTTCAATACAAGTCATTACTTTCTTTTGTTGTTCACTCTGCTGTGTAGTGTTACTGGCTACTCTGTTGAATACAATTTAGAGACCTGTCCTTCTCTGTGCAGCTTCTTTGGCGATTTTGGGTTCATGTTTGGTGGAAACCGGCAGCAACAGGACAGGAATATCCCACGAGGGAATGACATTATTCTGGATTTGGAGGTCACACTTGAAGAGGTCTACTCCGGAAACTTTGTTGAGGTGAGATCATTACCCAGAATTGTTTTTGTCTGCTTGGTATAGTATTGATTTTACTGCACCAAATATTTCTAGCATATTTGAACATTCTAATGATCTATGCAGGTTGTACGCAACAAACCAGTAGCCAAAGAAGCCCCTGGCAAAAGAAAGTGTAACTGTAGACAGGAGATGAGGACCACACAGCTTGGACCAGGACGTTTCCAAATGACACAAGAGATGGTCTGTGATGAGTGTCCCAATGTCAAGTAAGTAACTAATTTATACTGTAACCTGAGAGAATACTAACATAATACTAAACATAACATTATATTCTGCATTTGCCATTGTCTGTCTAGATAACTCAACTATGTGTCTGTTTTGTGGCTGACTTTTGTAGATTGGTGAATGAGGAACGCACCTTAGAGGTTGAGATTGAACAAGGAGTACGAGATGAGATGGAGTACCCATTTATTGGAGAAGGTTTGTAATTAGTTAAGTAAAAGCTAGTCATTTGCACCTTCATCATTTTCAAATGCATGAGTTACAGATAATCATTTTATTTTAGGTGAACCTCACATTGATGGAGAACCTGGTGATCTGCGTTTCCGCATTAAAGTTCTGAAGTAAGTGACGTAAATGGGTTGATGATGGCAATAAATGTATATCTCAACCCTTGGCTATATTGTGCCTTTATTTATAGTTTATCCTTCAGACCAAGATGGATTGAGTTAAGATATAAATGCAGTGTTTGTGAATGATTCATGTTTAAAACCTCCAGAGTGACTGTTCATTTTATCACAGCAATCTCTCCCTTGTATACTGCTTTCATAGGAAAGTTGTGCAAAGAGTCTTGTACAACAACAGTATGTGCAAGTCTGAGCAGTGATTGACCCCTCTGAACTGTTTCCCTGTCCACATTTTCATAAACCCAACCCTAACCATCTTTATTTCCATATTTCCCATTTCAGACATCCAGTGTTTGAGCGAAGAGGTGATGACCTGTACACAAATGTCACAATTTCACTGGTGGAGGCACTGGTGGGCTTTGAGATGGACATAGTTCATTTAGATGGACACAAGGTTTTTTAAACATCTATGGGCACAGTTTAGCTTGATTTAAAAAATGTAGATAAACTACACACATGACCCTCTTCTGCAGGTACATATCGTGAGAGACAAAATCACTAAGCCCGGGGCTCGGATGTGGAAGAAAGGAGAGGGTCTACCAAACTTTGACAATATCAACATTCGTGGCTCACTAATTATTACATTTGATGTTGAGTTTCCTCAAACACAACTAGATGACAAGCAAAAAGAAGGTGAGAAATTTGAACTAAAGTTACAAAGCAATAAGACCTTGCCTTTTTGTGATCACCTATCTCCTCTTGTTTTAGGAATTCGGAACATCCTGAAACAAGGTTCAGTACAAAAAGTTTACAATGGACTACAGGGATATTAACTACACACATAGACTGGACTCAGTACCTGCCACTCCCACCCACAGACCTGCAATAACTGGAGCGAGTCTGGGATTCTGGCTGAGGTCTATTTATTATTTTCATATGGTTCTCAGGATGACGTCAATCCTATTTTGTTTTTATTTTTTGTGTGTTTTGCCTGAAGTAGCGCATAGTTTTGTTTATAATTGATTGGCTACAATTGAAATACATAATGTTGTGCCATCAGGACATCTCGTTAGACCACAAATTGACAACCATTTAATAATTAACTCACAGCAGATTCTGCACACAAGCATCTGACAGTTCCAAATTATTTTTTTTACTTGCGGTATCAAAAGATGGACTCCTTTATGTTTCAATCAACTGTCCCTAGACAAGACATTTGGTTCATTTAAAAAATAATTTTATGAATGTAAAACAGAGAACCTCACCTCTTGTGTGGTACATTTTTCCTCTGGTTATATTCCTTTTTAATGGAATTTTGTAAATGGGAAACAGAAGATTTTGTGTCTTTGGTAAAACACTGTCATAAGAGTTGAGCTCTGTGAACAGTGGGGTTTTATTTTGATGTGGGCCATTCTCCTGTGGCAATGTAATAGATTTGGGTTAACTATCTGACACTGCTGCCCATTCTTTCTTGAAGACATCTGAACAAATTATTGATTCATAAGTTTGTTTATGTTAAAACTTTGGACCTCTTTTGTAAACTGCAAAATTCTACCTTCATGTTTTCAGACTCCTTAATGTGAATTATCTGGCCCTTTCTACGGAGTGTACTTGGGGGGTATTTGACTGATAAATAAAAATTTGTACAAATTCTCTTGTTATAATGCCAATCCACCAGCAGAAGACGCCAGAGATGTTCCATTGAAGCTTTTAGGAATAGTTCCACTGTGAGGGTCAATAGCCTAATAAGAGAGCAGCTCAATAATCGCTGTCGGTGTTCAAAGATTTAACGAGTAATCAATTTGTTACCAATCATTCATTTAGGTTATCCACACTGAAACTTAATTTGACCCTTTAGTCGGGCATATACAACTGTAAAATTGTTTTGTAAATTTTTTAATGCCAGTGTCAGCCCACACCTCACAGGTCACTGTTGTAGACTGGGATATCTGCCTAGTCATCAAGGTTAGTTTATAGTGTGGTGGGTGGTGCACATCTGCCCACCAGTAATCATGATAATCTGTTATTATAATACATGCTGTTTATTGTGCATGGAGGTTCTGTGTGTGGCCACTGTATATAATGAACTCCCACAGAGAGGAGGAGGAGGCTGTGGTGAAGGAGGGAGTTTTCTGCTCAGCCCACAAGACATCACCAAGCATTCTTACTCAGTCTGCTAAAGAGAATTCAAGGGACATCTGGTATCTCTTGTTTGTTTTTCTTAAAACTGTTAATTGCATTAGGAGTCGAGACTATTTTTGGCTTATTATGGGGCGGATGACATCAAGTCACTTATTTTTCTTAACACTTGTAATTACACTTTATTCTCCACACGAGGGCAGTATTGACTCTTACCACAGACCTTATTTCTCTTGCATTGTCTCATCCGCCCTTCCACACGCTCTTGTCTGTAAAGTGGTTAAGAGCCTGCAGCAGCACTTGGCTCTGGGTTGTTGATGTAGATAAGTACCGGGATCACACTTGACCCTGTGTGTAATGACTTGTAAGTGTAGCTGCCGGTTCAGAGAGGCACGGGGGCTAAAGCAGGCCTAATTGAGCAATCTGTGTGTGGGTCTGCGTGCAGCCCTGGCGCCATTGGATGTTATGATCTGCACTGGATCCACTGTGTGCTTAGGTAATGGTGCCTGACCTGGGACAGCCAGGGTTGCCACAACCCTCATCATTTATTACCTATAATCCTAGGGATGTTAAAGGTGCATTACGTAACTTTTCTGCTTGCCCCAGTGGCGCTTTGTCTGGAATGTTCCACCGTATAGCATTAAACTTAACTTGCACTGTTCTTTTTCAATTACAAGTGTAAAAAACATGCATTTCTTAGTGAGGTTGCCTCTCCACAGATCTGACCTGTTACACGAACTGGTGGCGCCCCTGCATGTTTCCATGTAGATAAGTAAGTTCAGTGCCATACCGGAAAACATTTGTGACTGAACAATATCTCCATGAAGACAGCTGGTGGACCCTCCACCACAAAAAATCCATAGCATAGTGCAGCTTTAAGTCAGAGAGAGAATAAAGTTTAAAGAATAAATAAATGCAGAGAATAGGGTTTCTGCTCAGATAGATTCAAATGATTCTTATCCAGTTTATTCACATGTCAATTAATTTATTCTTTTACAGGATTTTGGCCTATATTAGCCTATAGAGAAAATATAAGATATCACATTTAAGCCCTATTATTAATTACTTTATTAATATTGCACATCTTTTTTTTTTTTTTTTTTTTCAAATTGATGTACAAGATGCCCTGATTTTTTATTTTTTTTGTGCCTGTGGAAGAAACTCCATGACTGACTCCATGTCACATAAATTTGCATAACAGATACTTCCTCTATTGCAGCATGAACCACCATAGGCTTAAGCTATTAATGCCATAGAGCATCATTCAGGCTATGGCTACAGAGGGAGAGGCAAGGAGGGGAAAAAACTGTGTCTGAAATAAGAAATGTTGATAGACAAAGCCTACAATTTGTGGGATCTGAGCATAAAGCAAACAAAGGCGAGCTTTTGTAGGGAATAATGCATGTCAGCCATATCCGTACCCCCGCCGCAGCTTTGAACACTGCTGGGGACGACCATTGCTCCACTGAGAATGTCATGTTGCTATATTAAAGCCATTCTACCAGCCTCAACTATTCAACAATCGCCTGGTGGGGCTTTCATTATGGCCACTGTGGCTTTGGGGCTTTTTCACTGCAGAAACGTTAAGCCCTCCTGTTAGAGAGGACGAGCTGCTGTTTATGCCAGGGCCTTTCTGGGACTAAACATAGTCAACTGTCATTACGGATCGCACTCTCTCACCCTCATCTGTCTGCTCACTCACTTGCACCAACAGAACAAATGCTTTGGACAGAATTTCAGGAACAGTAAAAAAAATAATAATACACAAAATTGCACAAATTCTTATATATAGAAACAGTGAAAGTTCTTTGGTAACTCAACAATAACTAAAAAAAAAAAATCATGATACTTTTAATAAACATTTATGACAAAATGTTATGTTTTGATTAACCAGTCATTCCCAACCTGTAGGTCACTGCCAAAATTGGGGTCTCCAAAGATTCTTATGGGTTCTTAGAAAATAGGGCCAACCTGGATTGTGTGGCGTTTAATGAATGGCATGTTAATTGCTTAAGTATTAAAGTATGATGTAGTGTCATTTTAATCCATTGGTAAAAAAAGAGTCTGATGAAAAAAAGTTATTCTTTCTAATTTATCAAAATTTCAGCAAAAGCTGCCCAAAACAATAACATGATTTAATTCCTGGGTAAGTACTTGTGTGTTCCTTTTATGATCTTCAAATTTCTTCCCATCTGTCATCTGAATTTATTTTTAAATTGCAAAGCGCCAGTATTTTTATTGCAGTATTTTACCCATCTCTTTACTGCATTTCTCAAACTTCTGCCCTAATGTGCCGTGTTGTGAGTGGTTATTTGAAAAGCGCTGATGCCCCTTCTGTAGTCCCACATCCTGAGGAACACAAGAAGGGTGTAGTGGAGACAGGAGAGGCCAAGTGCAGGACAAACAGGCCACAGACCACCTATCTGGATGAAAGCCACAAGTCCACGGACAGCATTCCTCACATAAGCAGCTAAAGCAGCAGCCCAGACTTTACATTGCAGGGTTGTATGTTACAGCAGCCGTATGTAAACTTACACACAACCTTAATGCAGGGCCTCAGCAAGTCAGCTTAACTTTTGCACGGTCCAATTTTGAACCTAATCCACATAAAATCTAGAGGTAAAATTAATACAAGAGTAAATGATTTCAAAAGTAAATGATCATCTTTATCATTTATATAGAGTATATTATTTACATATATTTAACTGAATATATAGGCCATATATATATGTGTGTAAGACAAAATAGTATTTCTATTGTTGCAAGAAGAACCACAAATATTATTTATTTTATTCATGTTATTACTGGAAGCAAATGAGTAATTTACAATGTAATCAAGACTAAAATGTTCTCGTGTATGAGAATTATTTGGTCTTTCTTGGCCTCAAACGTTCGCAAAAAATCTAATAAGCGTCCCTTCATCACACATCCATGGGGGTCTAACTGTGTGTAGGCCTACTGTACACAGGCCTTCACTAAAGATTTAAGCAGCGTATCACTGTCAGCGTTTGGCAGAGTCGGTTCGTTGCAATTTAACATAAATAGGTCTCAGGTATTAGAAAAGCACAGTGTGTAAATGAATATGTATTAGTGAGTGAGAGAGGGTTAGGGGAATAGGAGAGGATAATGAAAGCAGTCTTTGTGTCCTGCGCAGAGCCCTCTGGTGGAGCCACTCGTCAGTGCAGGTTGCCCCGGCCTGTGGTGGCGGATCACAGTTAATAACAGTGTGGAGCGCTGTCAGAGGCACTTAGAGTGATGCTGGGCAGAGCGGGCCTGACCGCGCCACATACCCAGCCTCCTGTCTCCGCGAGCGGACCACTGCAGTCAGACTGTGAGGCAGAGGAGATGGAGAGAAGAGATGGAGACATGATGAAGATATCAGATCCAGGATTTGTGACATCCTTAGACAATACACACAAGATTTTCAGGGGCAGTGCAATGATTTACCTGAAGATTTGTGTTAATGTGTGAAAAGAATTGTAAGTTAAAGATCAAACCTAAAGGCTTGTTTCGCTTTTAATGTCTGTCAGACAACAGCTGTGCCCTGTGCACTGCCACACTTTGTGGTTTTGATAATTATTGGCCACGTCCAGAGCAGCTATGGCTCAATGCTCTCTTAAGTAATTCACACTGACAGCATCTACAGGTTGTGAACTGATCGAGTTTAAAGTCTGCTGCCTCTTTGAGGATTATCTTCTTTCCGCTTTGGATTTTCTTCTATCGCCTACAACAGTTGAGTGATTTCTTTTCGATATATGGTGGTAATTCAGCAAGTGCTTCTCTGTGTTTAAAATCACCTCCACCACTCACATTATTGCACAGATTAGAAATGTAAAATACCAGCTTGTTTTTAGTTGCCTGGTCAGCCAGTCCCTTCTGCATTCTGTCCGAATCCAGAAGAGTTTGGAGTTGGACCATAAAGCGTGAAAAACCTTCACCCAAACTCGAGATGGTCCAACCACAGCCGCTAATTTGTATCACGTGTCTCTCAAAGGCAGAAGACATCTCTTGAAAATTCTTTTAACACTGAGAACAAAACATTTGACTTATTTTACCTGAGAAAAGTAATAGCTTGGTGCTTCGACTGTTGATTCGGAGAAAATCCACACTCAGTCCTTTTTTGACCTTTTTTCACCGTTTTTCTCATTTTTTGACATGAATGAACCATGTGTCTGATCGGTTAATCCCTCATCAATCATGCCCTGAAATAAGTTAGACAGAATACGGCTTCAGATCCACTCGTCTTTATGAATTTTTGCCAAAGCGTGTGGTTCTGGTTGATCAGGTAAACAAGCTTCTCCCTCATACTTCCAGTTTGAACGCATCAGGATCGGGAACTTGGGACAGTCCAATCGCAGCCACTAATTGGTATCACGTCTCTCAAACGCTGAAGACATCTCTTCTCAAATATTGTTGTCTAATTCGGAGCAAACCATATGACTTTTACCGCAGATACACAAGAGTTTAGTGCCTTGCTTGTTGATTCTGCAGAAATATGTGCTGTTTCTCAGTCT